GCTATGTTAAATAACCAGATGGTACCTCAGGATAAAGAATCTTGCAAAACTCCAATATCTAGGCTTTATGGGGGTTATATCTATAGTTAATGGGGATTGTAAACCAACTTGTAACTGGGGGGGTACCACCTTGTAGGGATCACATTTAGTTTGAGGCTGTGTAATCCGTCCAATATTATCCCCAAATTCACTGGTCAATCGGTCAATCATCGTATTCCCAATAAAATCCAAAAGCCACTGGCTATTCTGGAACTTATAAACACGCCCAAAAATGAAACCCGGACAACTCTTTCCAATTTCCACCAACTTGGAACAAGCATCTGACATCTACCTAAATTGTACTTGAGGGTATGTGACCTAAGGGAATAGTTCCACAGAAAAATCCTTCTTTGGCCTGCTTCCATTTAGGGTCATCTAAATGGGCCGTGGACCAACAACTAAGCATCAACCAACCATCTCCTTTACCATCCTGAGTGGTTTAGGGAGGTCCCATCCCTGGTTTTTGGGGTTGGCGTAACCTGGGGAACTCCAACATCTGGTGCTCAGCAGGGCTTTTGGTTCCCTTTTCCAACCTCTTCCCGCTCAAGACACACACTTTTATAGCTGGTTTGCTTAATGACTACTACTAACCTAGGTTAAACCAACATAGATGTGAAAAACCCACCACTTCTTGATATGTTTCCGAATGGGAAACCATTGGTTTTCCACATCTATGTGAGTGCATAGGATATCTCTGTGAGTCGCCAAGCAGCTTCTTTTGTTTCTTCTCTTCAGCCTTGGGCGAAGCACAAGCGGGATGGTCCGATATCAAACCACCAGCGGCCAGCGGCCCCAGCATCATTTCGTGTTTTGCTTTGGGTTTATGGATGATAAAACCATGGCTGCGATATCATCTATGATATAACCAATATTCATGGGATATTGTATGACGTCGTCATCTTTTTGAGGAACCCCCCGGCCCACTCATCATCGGATATTCCACACTGAGCTGGGCGCCGCTAGGACCGCTGACCTCGTGACTTCGGCTCACTGTACAACTGGCTGATTTTGCAGGTCAAATTGCCATATCAATCTATATCAACGTATATCCATGTAAGTTCACCTTACTTATTCGTACTGACCCCCGAACCAACCAACCCCGGCCGAATGAATCACCTCAAGTGAACAAAGCCATCACATTCCACTTATGAGTGCTTAGCACGGGCTGAACACAGATTTTCAATGCACAAAACCCATGTCAAAGCCAACAATCAAATAGGGATGGCATATGATGGCATATGAACATACAGAAAATGAGCTATCCATGTGACCAACATCAAAATTTTTGAATGGGAATGTAGCCAACAGCGTTAGATGTTACCAGTAAACACCGATGCGGAAAGTGGACAAACCAACATGACCACTCCAGGATTCCAACATGAAAATTGAAAATCCATGGCCATTCCAGGAACCGATAAATTGGAGGTACCTACCATATATAAGGCCTATTCCCATTGATGAAATCCTGCCATTTACACACAATTTGTCCATTCAGACCTCCATGATGATTTCCCTGAGTTTACCGATCGGTCTTCCTCCTAGGAATGGAGATGGCGTCCAGCTAGCCGCGGTCCAGCTAGCCAACCCCAAGGCATCCAAGACCGCAGGGCACTGGTTTTGGGTAAAGGATTTTGTGTTTACAGAAAAAGTGGATTGAAATGTGCACAAACATGAAACTTGCAGGTTCAGAATCCAAAGAACGTCTCACTTTCAAATCATATTTACACCGGTGTGGTATAGCCTTGGTGCTCAACTTAATTGCCCCTGCATCCTGATATCTGTTACTGTGTATTCGTGTATATTCCCGAATTGCAGTAAACACCTTCCTGTTTGAGGAAGGTTGACATGGCTACACATAGCTGTGGGATGCAAGGATGTGTCAAAGCCCAGGTATCGTTTCGAGCATCCAAGACCTCTGAACCTCTGAACGGAATGTTGCCATACCACAAATTCTGCTCGCGCAACTGAGCTCCCCCTACTTCACAGCTCCCTTCGGATCCTGGATCGCATGGATAAAAAGCAGGGCAGCAGGTGGCTTGCCCCAACGTTGGGAGCTCGCCTGTCATTATTCTAAACACCATCTCAAGGCTCAAAAACTGATGCATTCCCCAAATTCTCTGAGAAAACCAAGAAGTGTTTCTTGAGTTTCAAATGCTTTCAGATGTCTGTCCCCTAGAAATTCTTGAGATACTGCCGATGGATGAAGACACCAGCGGTCACCCATGGCTGATTCCGAATGATTCAAGTCCCCAACAGATTCCTAAACACGCAACTGATTCAACTCCCCCGTGGCTTCCGGATTTCCAAGGTTGATTGGGATTTTTTCCTAATTCGAGAATGTGCATAGGCTGCAAAGGCGAGACCTTTTGAATGCCGTGAAAGTGAAAAAGTGAAAGTTCAAATCACCCGTGCTTTTGTTGATATCAACACTCACTCATATGCTCATGCTGCTGGATATCCCAATCTTCTAAACCTGTGTGGGGTTCATGCCTACAGCACCCAGCAAAAATGAGCAGATGATCAGGGATCATCATACCAAATAGGGTTGAACTATTTCATAGGTTAAGCACCCTACACCAAATATAGACATCATAGACTACGTCATAGACCATGCCATGCGTTGAGGCTTGGATTTTATGATCAGTTTCCACTAAACAAATGACACCATGTTTGACCGTCGAACTGCTATAGCTCTCGCCTGTTTGGCGTCCGGAAACGTGCTCGCCTCGGGGGTTTAACTGCGGCTTGTTCCGAACGTCCGTTCTTCCAGGAAGCAAGAAATTGGTTGGACCTTTTGTGTAGATTATGGAGTGGGTCGTGCAAAATTACGGATAGAGGTGTGATCAATTGTGCTAAATAGCGAGAAATCGGCGATAAATGAGGCTGATCCTGGGGTCCCCCGTCAAAAGTGGACAATGTTGAGTGCATCACGTGATGCTTACCACGTTTTGGCTAGGCAAAACAAAGGTTGACAAGCAGTAAGTAGGCAACCCCACCAAGTATAAAACATCATAATCATACCCTCTAGCAATTTTAACATAGCCATGGAAAAATGACCGATATAGTTCGATGAATGATGATTGAACTACGTATATATAACTATATAGTTGCAATTATATATATATACACTAAAACAAGAAACAGGTGAACCATGGTAAAACATCATATTTCTCAATATCCTAACGTTCCTTCTTGGAAATTCTTCAAGAGGGGCTTATGAAAAACAAACACAAACACAAACACATGGTCAATCTTTGATAGTCCGCAGGATTTTTTTTTTGCTGGGTATGGTATGGTTATTGTCCAATTGCAAAAGAATACAGGATTCATCTTTCCAAGATGTTTGGTTCATAGAATACCACTTACCCATTCATTTCTATCCAAAATATCCCAAAAAAAATGGCTTCGTATTTTCCAAGGTTGGGATCCCCAGCACGGATCCCAAAACCCGGCCAAGGCACGTCCTTTTTCCGGGGCTTTTGCTTCGTCCTGACGGTTTTCCGTTGGGTTCTGGTGATCCTTTCGGTAGAACTGTTAGGTGGATGGGTTTAAGAAAGCAACTTCAACTCATTTCGTATAACAGCGTATGAAAAATCAAAGGGGCATTATGATCTTTGTGTGTGCTTGTATGGGTATAGGAATGTGTTGCAGAACTATATATATATATATATAAATATGCAAATACTTACCTATACATCGTATGCATGGCTATGCTGCAATTGATATAAATCCGTTATATTAAATGCCTAAATAACATGTCGACACACATGTGTAGCCACCCCAAAGTGCCTCCATCATCCACATGTGACACTGCCATCGCCGACCGCATGATTTCTTCGGAAACCACCACCCAATTTCACCACAAATGAGTGGTATAACATGGTATAACCATCAACATATGGCTGCTTTATTATGGCAAACATGATCAAATCATCGGATAGAGGCGAGGTCTTGTTGGTACCATGTTGCCACGTGTATGTATATATATATACACATGCGTTTGTATGTTCAATGGAAGGTGCCAGTCTACCAGCCAGAGATCATCACAGATATTGACCAAAAGTGGATTTGCCACATTTTTCCATGATCTCATTGCATTCCCATGTCTATCTCCTTAAAATGTATACTCCCATTATACTCCATTATATTGCATCTAGTACGTATCTTATTGTATTCCCATGAGATCGCCATGAAAACACCACGTCTTCCGCACTTGGCAGGACTTGGGGCGCCGAACGCGTGGCTTTCTTCTTGCTCCTGAGAATGTTGAAATTCAGCGACTGACCATAGACTTTCTATGGAATTCTTTCACTTACCCTCTGACAATCAAAGATGGCAATGGAACAATCATTGTAAATGTAGCTTTTAAAGAAAAACAACATTTATCTAAATGGCAAATGTTCAATTGTCAGGTTTGATTACCAAAGGGTACCCTCCCAAAAAGTGTGGCAAAGAGACTTAAATCAGCCTCCGCCAGCAAAAAACGAAAACAACTCCAGAAAAGCTTGAAATCAGCTGTGACGTGAACATGTGGTAATATACATGTTGTTTTGGGACTTATACAATTTTTCATGTGGACTTGGACAGTGAAAGCGCATATAAAAATAGTATAATATAGTTGTGTATACTTTTGCATATAAATAAAAACAGTAAAATCTGATAAAATATGTGCAATTGTATAGTCAAATATAGTCAAAGTATGTCAATGCAATTTTCCGGGGGTATTCCCTTGAACTCTTGGACTGACAGAATCTGCAGGACTTGCATCACGATCCTGACACTTGGGTGCATTCAATTCATAGCCGAGTTTGATGTGAGTGATTTTTGACTTCGAACAGGAAACAAAAAAACTAATTTAGAAGCTGTCCCAACTGGTGCCCTTCTCAAAACAATAGGGCATATTCAACTGACGTTCCATGGTTATGGAACAAAGCCCACTTGGTCAGCGCAGCCTCCCAGTCTTTCTGAACGCCGTCTTCGCCATAGGCGAAAAATCGCTGCGGGTTCTGCGAGTGAGACTGCAACGCCCACTTTGGAGCTGATGCTGCTACCGCTACAGGCTGCAACCATAGGCAAGATGAGTGGAATAATAGGGACCTCCTGACTGATAGGACCCCCATTCCTATACTCCCATGCTCAAAACCCCAGGGAGTTCCCATCATTGATTCCATGGATTTTGTGCGACTTGACCTCCCTCCAAACGCCCTCATCGGACTGGGGACGACTAAGCATCCTCAAGTAACCCAAGATTTTTGTAGGGGACAATCCAAAAATACTTATGGAACACTTTAAATTAAAAAAAAATGAGACCATGAACAAAACCATCAAAAACCCACCAAGCTCAATGAAATGTTCCCATTGATTTCGGGCCGCTTTGACCCTTGACCCTTGACCCTCTTCCCCCAAGTTGCCTGGCCAAAGTTCAGGTTTCAACCCTAACATCGAGGCCACCGTGTCCGAATCATTTTCCCAAAAAGGGTGTCCCCGTACTTTCCAGCTCTACCAATTAACTGACACCAAGATCAATTACCAAAAAAAAATAAACACATGCCCATCCTTTTCTCATATCAGTTCCTTTTTTACTTCCCCATCTTCCCTTGGTTGCTTCATCCTTCGCATCTTCGCTTCCAAGAGAATCGCCCGCCTGGCCGCCAGGCGCCGCCGGAAGCCATGCACCATCTCGCCCAGCTTGGGACAGCTGTACCTCCGTCCGAGGTGTCCATGAGATTTGTCGATCTTTTGATTTGTTGGTTTGTGACATGTCTTCCTGCAGGTGGCATGGCCATATGTATGCCATAATAGTCTGTAAAAAACATGCCCTTTGGATGCGCTTGGCGTAGGTGACATCATATTATCATATATGATTTTAAACCGTTGCTGAGAATCATGGTGCAACCTTTTTACGATATAATGGTAATTTGTTGAAAGGGAAACTCCTCCAGCTTTGTTGGTTCTACCATTGCAATGGGTCAAACCGGGTAACCCTGTGAAGGTACCAGGAAATTCATGAAGATATCGCAGGGCCCATCAATCTCCCCAACAAATAGGCATTAGTAAGCCCAACAAACATGGATACCTCATTTACCACTATATGACTCTACATATGTATATATAAATATAAATATATATATATTCTCTATATATATATATATAGCAAAATAAGTATAGATTATACACGTTTCTTTGTTTTTTTGATCTTTTTGGTGCACACTTTTTCGGACCGGGACCCATTTCCCGGTAAGCGCATCGCCAGGTGGCCGCTTTTCTTCGATGATCTCCATGAGGCTCTCGCGACGCAGATGCCTTCATCACCGAGATTTGCTGAAGGAACCCCTCCCAAAAAATGACAAAAATGGGTACCCTCTGGTAAATTAACATAGCTATTGAACATTGCCATTTATAGTGAGTTTTCCCATGAAAAATTGTGATTTTCCATAGTTATGTTAGTTTACCAGAGGGTAGATATTCCGCAACAAAAATGCTAGTAGTGGATTTCCCATTGGGAAAATAAGAATCATCTGAAGAAAATACCAAGCTTCATCTGCAGCAGTCTATGGCAAGTTTTTGGCTAGCATGACCAACCAAGTTTCAACCAGCACATAGACCAAACATAGCTGGACACCCTGTCTCACGCGTGCCAATCGTGGCTAATCTTAGGCAGCCCACCAAAAAAATAAACATGTTCGACAGGTTGGTAGGCGTCTAAAATCATACTATACCGTGATATGTATTATAAAACATATTCATCCCCAGTCGTGGATATATATATATATATAATTATTTATTTATAGTATAATATTATATATATACATATGAATAACATTAATTTATATATATATATATGTAACAGTATATAAAGTGTATATATATATAATATATATAATATATATAATATATATATAATATATATATAATATATATATATATAATATATATAATATAATATATATATATATATTCAACTACATTCATGCATTTATAGCATCTTATTGTGCGATCGGATCGCCAAGCGACAGCACTTCAATGTAGGTTAGGGCATGGCAGCGCTTGTAGCGAATCAAGGCACGGTCCAGGAGGATGAAGTCCTCCAGGGAACGCAGCGGGAAAAAAAAAACGTGAGGAAAGGACAGAATTCTTAACGCTTATATGGATCATATGATAGGTATATGTATATATATATATATATATATATGGATATATCCATAAGTAGAACAATATAGAACAATAATGTATGTATGTATGTATGTATGTATGTATGTATGTATGTATGTATGTGTGTATGTATGTATGTATTATTATTATTACTATTATTACTACATGGATAATTTATTATTCATGGTGAATGTTGAGTGGTCTTTGGTTGAAGGAATCGATGTGACTATCTATTAACATCGATGAACTATATCTTTTGTGGGCTTAGATGTTGTTTCATAGACGTCCATGCGCTCTATTTGGTTGAGTAATACTAGGTGCACCCTCCCTTGAACAACCGATTGGTACCACTGATTAAATATAGCATGCCAAGGTGGCCCCTTTATTTCTTCTTCAGGGGAAATCATTGCAATCTTCGCCTGTGTCACTGCAATGCTTTTCCCTAATGGAGGCTAGCTAACCCTAGGTGCTCAGGTATAAACTCATTGCTGTCTGGAACATTTTAAGAGTTGGAGTGGGAAAATACCGCAGAAAGTAGATGGTTTACCTGATATGATTTGCGTAGTCAATCTCAGGATCTTTAAACAAGTAGTTGTAACTTCAGCACCAACTGCCATCAAGCACACACGCATAGCAACTTGAAATGCTCAAGTTCAGGAAAATCATGCATACATGGGCATCTTCCTTTTGCCATGTTCCAAAAGGACCCACTTGGAACTTTGTAAAGTTACATTAAAACTGGCCGAATTACAAATCACTAACCTGAAAAAACTGAAATCAGGCCAAGTGGGGATGATTCCCCTTGACAATCATCATTTCTAGTGGCGTTGCAGTTTCAGTGAGGTCATTCATGGTCATTATATTTCATCCAGTAAGTATAGAACCCATTGCCATAGACCCCACAGCTGCTCGTTAGGACCCACACATTCAGCTGGTCATGAGCTAACCAATAGGTCGGGAAGCCCCATGGCAATTGAACATCACTATTTGGAGTCAGGAAATCATATGGAAATGGGAGGATTTTCATTTTTTCCCACAATTTCGCTGACGGAATTCGAATCATTCAGAAATCGAATCTAGCGCAGTGAAAATACCATCTATATATATATATATATAATATATAATATATAATATATATATATATATTTCTCCTGGTTCAAAGCCATGTGGGAAAGAGAGAGCCATGGACAGCAAGATAGGAAAACGCTAGGCTGGCCTCTCCCCAGACATCGCCCTTGTGTTGCAGCACGCTATCAATCATACACAAACCTGCCGAGGTTTCTTCGGAGAGCCACACGGTGTGGTCTGCTGGGAATCTTTCCTTTTTTTTCGGAACTCCCTAGTACATGCGTGCTAAAGACCATGGTTTCGTGCAGCAAAAATATCTTGAACCAATCTATGAATCTATTGATAGAAGGAAGTGGTCGGGTCACTTTTGGGGGGTATCGCTGTGTCATCCTTATTGTTACCATGTGGGAGTTCAATATACTCATAGCTCCCATAGGAGATCCAATGACTTACACTTCGATCCCAAATTCATTGTAATGTTGGATTCACCCAATGCCATAGTCACCTCCCAAGTCATCACAATTTTTATGGGTGGGATTGAAACCCCCGGTCATTCTATAGGGCTCACTACATCCCGTCCCCTGCCAAGCCAGAGTGCCTTTGGATAGAATGCAGAGCACCTGACATGGTTCAGGGCTCAATCTCCAGGGAGGCTTCGATTTTGGGAAGCCAAATTCACAAGAACAATAGAAAAGTGTCAATGGAAAGTGCATACCGAATGTATGAAGAATTTCTATAAAATTAGTTTTCAATACATTGACTTCATGTTGAAATGTATAATTCCCATGTATCAATATCGACGCGCTTCAAAACCCTACATCTGCACCAGAAAGGCCCCAGCTCCTATGGCTACTCGTCAACGATGTTAAAACCGATTTCGTGGCCATTACATTGCAATGATATGCTGTGGGACTGAACAACTGCACTTCTAAGGCCGCGAAATTTGGTAACCTGTTCCACTCAAGTGCTGTGGTATCCAAACTCATGCCAAGCTGTTTTGGCTCTGCACTCTTGCCCAAGTCCATCCAAGTCCCAATAGTTCCCAGTGGAATCCCGATTGTCCGGTAGCAGAATCCACATTCTATAAAATACATCAGTTTTCTGGGTGAAATCCACATTTTCCTGGTGAATTTTGGGCAAGATCCACATTTTTGTGGTCAACTCCGGCTCCGACCTGCTCCGTTTCAAAGGTTTCATCTTGGGCGAAGGCATAGCATTCCAAGCGCCTCAAGGAACCCACAAAAAAGGAGCCGGTGGTGCCTAAAGGTGTCCAGAACGAAATTTGGACGAGACGATTTTGATGTTTTTTTCACTCAAAATATGGTGATTTTGGTTTGTCATATCTTGTCATATCTGGTAGTTTCAAAAGTTTTTCCCCCAAACATGCATAGAACAAGATCACAGTTTCACCCCCATCTTCAGATTTCTCCACTGTCTCTGAATTCTTGATGCCCCCCAGCTCTAAGTTCTACCCCACCAAGTTACTTGCATCAACTTAGCTAGGGTTCCTCACCTTGTAAGATGTCGTTTCTTTTTCAGTCCAAAATTCTCCCAAAAAATACTTGTACATCTCCAGTAACTGTTTTTTTTTGCGGATGTCCCATGTGTTTCCCATAAATTTCTTGGGATTTCTACGAAAGGCCTCGACATTTCGGCCAGGCAGGCACGGTAGGAGTCGGCCGGGAGGCCCTGGTCCTCGATGGATTCGAAATACCTCGAGGCCCCACGAGTTCGACTCAGAGATTATATTACTATTATAGTTAGTATATAGGATATATCAGTTAAATATCATCATATTCGTTAGTACATAATTTAGTATTATATATATATATATATCTGTATAGTGTAATTGTCTATCAAACTATCAACTATTCTACCACTATCAACTATATATTGTATTGTAAAGGTTATTTAGTTCGCAAGTATGCATATATGTATAATTAATGAACTGAATGATGTATATATATATATATATTTATATACCAGGAGCTTCAAAGACCCAAACAATTGTAGGTCCAGTGAAAAAAAAACTAGTTTTTTCGCGAAAAAACGGGTTTTTGTAAAGAACCCATATTTTGGTTTTTGTTGGATTTGCACAAATTTGTCCAAATCGGGTGGACCTGTATCAAGTTTCTCCTCATTACATGTAGCAATTTCATACTGACAACTTGTGAAATCTGTCAGACAGAACGCGCGATCGAAACCGAAGCAAGCGTTCTCAGACACGATGCGCGCATTCTCCACCAGCCGCAGTTGCCTCCTATGCTGCGAACTGTCCCTTCAGCGGGACTGGAGGTAGTCAAAAAGTCACAATGGATATGCATGGCATTTCAAGTCAGCTTTTCAGATATGAACCCAGTAAATTGACAATAGCTCCGGTAATCTGTGTTGTTTTCTTTTTGTCTGGATCCGGCAATTACCGGTTCGATCTTGCAAAACCACAAGCGGAGCCTTAAAACTCGACGTCGCACCATCAATTCGCAGAGGCAAAAAACCCATGTTTTGAGTACGGGTTAGTATGGGTTAAATATGGTTTCCAAAAAACCGTTTTTTTTACTATATCAGAATATGGGTTTAGTACGGGTTAAATATGGGTTTAGTACGGCTTAAATATGTTTTTTTTTGCATTTTTTGGGTACAGACCCTAAAATTTTAATCCGAAATGATTAAACACTGAAAATTCCGATTGATTTTTCTTGATTTTGTTAATTTTGTTCGATACTTTTGTTCGACTGTTTGTTGGACTTTGGCAATCCAGAATCGTTTTTTCCCAATGAAAAAAATCCAGCCATGTTTCAATTTATGCTTCTAGGGGTGGTTCTTGGGAAAAAATCATCCAACGACTCCAGATTGACTGTGATCACACTTAATGCTGTCCGACATTTTCCAAGAGCATCGGGCCCTTTCTTGTGAGAACTGCCAGCCAAAGCCAGCAGGGTGGAAGCATAATCAGCATGAAGGGTACTGAGAGGGATAGATCCAAGGCTGGTATCAATAAAGGGGTTTGAATCGTCTAAGGGAACGAATCATGAGATGTCATGACACCAAGTGTGAGAAAAAGTATGTTTTTTCCCTAGTAAAGAAAAAGCACATATTTTCTGAGAAAAACCGGGCTTTTTATAACTGAAGAAAAAAACGGGTTTTTGAAAAAAAAAGAAACCTACATATTTGTGGGTTCTTGATGCGCTAGGTACATATAATTAAGCCAGCCAAAAGATACGGTGGAGCGAAAAAGACTCATTCAACAAGCGACTGAAAAAAGGGCTTAATTTGGACTAAGAATGGTGCGGTGGGTTGGATCATCCAGCTGACTCTGCTTGTAAGGGAATATGATATGGTGCAATTTGGAAATTTCTGGCAGCGCGGACACCGCTAAAAAGAATTGCCACACTTACAAGGCTTTCTGTTCAGTTCTTATTTTGCAGTCTGTCGCCCAGCTGCTGGATGAATTGGTTGAAGAAACTGACTTTTCTCAACCTCAGGTTGGCCACTGACATGGATGCTATACTTACACTTTGATGTTTGTTATGCATTTTCCAGGGGAAATCATAGCAAACAGTGTTGCAATTTGTGCGATCAATGCTGGTGTCTTTAAACCATGCATGCAGCAAATGGATGCAAATGGGATGGAGAACGCTATGAGCTGCTTATTCCTCATTACCCAATTGCCCAGCTAGCAGATGTACAGCTGACATATGCTGACATGCTACGCTGTCCCCTGCGCTTCGATCCCCAAGGTGGATACATCGAAGCCGAAGGTACAACCAGAGTTTTTTGAACATTTTTGAACCAATTATCCTGAGAATAAGGGTATCTATCTATATTCACATTGTCTACTGCAGTTTATGATCTGCTTTGAGACCCGTTCCGAATTTTCGATTGAAGGACCATCCCACTTTAGTGGCTAACATGTGAGTTACCATGCTTAGTTCACCCATTTAACATCATTGACCCATTTATGGGTGGGATAATCCATGAACGTATAAAATCACCAGGGTTAGCAGCCAAAAAACCAAGGCAAGTTGGAAGTGAAGCAAACCTCCGACTGCCTCGGTTGCGGCTGCGCAACATTGGAGGGTAGCCCTGCATTCAAGAATCGCGGCTGAACGATGGAAACAATCTTCGCGAGGCATTAGGAACGATGATGATGCTGCTGCTGATGATGATGCTGATGCTGGTAATGATTACGACGATGGCGATGGCAATGTTGTCTAATGTGAAAATTGTAGGATTGCAAACGTGTTTGCTTTGAAGTCTTGAAACCCGGATTGTTTTTGTTTCCCCTGGATTTCTTTGTGACAATGTCTTTGGCATGGGCTTGCTAACATAGATCCTTACAATATGTTACACAAAGTTTGTGATTAGCCAACAGAAAATCCCGTCTAGGTAGGCTGCACAGCAATTGTTGGGATCCAATTGATAGCCATAGCTGCTTCGCTTCCCCTAAGCGCTGAATAATCAGCAGATATGCCCTCATATCATCTTATACCCTTATTATATTTAACCATCATGTCCCCTATTTTCCATGAGTTTTAATGGTGATAATCCGGGCATGATGGAAACTCAAACCCTCTCCATGTCCCCTCCCAATCTTTCCCATCCAGGGGGCAGTTGTGGACTCATGCTATTCCTTGTCGCCGGGGACTACCGTCCCAAACCAGATTCGAGTCATTGGGATTCATTGGGGATATCCCATACCAAATGATAGGACATTTGTTGGGCATATAAGGATATCCCAAATAATGAGAAAAACAATAATGATAGGACATATAAGGACAATAATGATAGGACATTGGGGATATCCCATCCAAATATAGGGCATATATAGGACAATAATGATAGGACATATAGGACATATAAGGATATGGTTGGCTCAACCAGTGATACACCAGTAAAGCACGTGATGTTTCAAACGCCCCTACTTGAAGCGCATGCAACGCTGTTCTTCTCGGAATTGGCGGCGCCAACTGCCAGTGACGACTCTTGACACTGAAATGACCATGTGGCATCAGGGCAAAATAACACCTGTCATGCGGCCATCCAGTCATGTTTGTTGATTACCAACTAAAAAACTTGAAACAACCTATTATAGTCGTATATAGTCCGAAGATGAATATAAGAAATAAAATGCTAATATATAGTAAGATGCTATAATATTACAAGGGCCATAAAACCCGTAGAGAATTGGATTTACTTGCACCAACTTGGCTATCGTAATCTATTATGGTCCCCGAGGCTGAAGGATGTACATCTTTAGCTGCGCATGCTAGTAGGTTTCTGTAGGTTTATGCAGGCTGACATGAGTCCAAATCAAAAATTGCAAAGAAACTAAGTATGCATCTTCACCTAGCCTGCAGCAGTTGCTTTACCCAAAGATACCCAATGTATTTATATACGTATTGAAATCCATATCAAATCCAGATTGATGCTCTATACTTTCCCTCACCAAGGCCACGGCTTTCCCAGCCCAGTGTCAGTAGGTTGAGATTATGCTGATGCTGTGCCAGGTTCCTGTTCTGCCTCGGGGCTACGGAAGCCCCCGAGCTGGTGCTAAAGAGGCTGGAGAATTTAGGCATGCAAAAATGTATGGATGATTATGGATATGATATGCATACATGTGTATAAATATATATATACATAAGGTTTGAACCAAAACAAATCTATGTATGTATACTTATGTAAAAAAGGAACTATGGTTTTCATTGGTTTCCTGCAGGTTGTTTTTTTCATCGACCCATTGGATAGTGGTCAATCCTAAATGAAACTATGGATTTCATTGTGGACATTCTCCAAGAAGCAGACTTATGTGTTGGGGAACCCTTTGGAATTGGGAGACGTAAAAGCGTATCGGTTCCACAGAATCCTACGCTGTAGCAAAAACGCCCAACCACTGGAAAGAATCAACAATTTTTATCTTCAACAACAACTCAACAGCATGACAGTGACCCCTAGATTCGATCGCAACTCCAATTGAGTCTTTATGACACTTATAACTAATATATACTACTGTAATATGTTTCATGGGATTTTGTTCACATAGCCATCACCTCTGCAGAAAATCCCGTTAAATGGGCCCAAGAGGCAGAAAGAAGGTACGCAGCCGCTTTTGCAGCGATTCAGGCAGGTTTTCGGTCTGCATCATGACGTTCAGGTTGTTCATTCCTTGGGTGTGGACAATCCAACGCGGTGCGCTGCTGGAAAATCCCCCGCACGAATTATAGGTTTATAGCTAGGAAAAAGGGGGAACATTAATTAAATAATGTGGGTAAAACAATGCCATAAACCACCCATTTGGGAATGCCATGAAATTATGGTGATTTGGAGGATGGTTTATTATTGTTTTACCCACATGATTAATGATGTTCACATGCTATGTTCGATTACCAAAGGGTAACTGGCCAGTTCCTTCGAAAATTTACCCTTTCTGAATAGTTGGTGGGTCAACATGAATCAACCTAGTCTGGTTGGCGGACCCATCTGACAAGTCATTTTGGATCATCATTCCAAATATGGTATATAATTAATGATCATTTTGGATTCTACATTTGGTCAAATATACTATGGGTATCATTCCATATCATTCCAATATTATATTTAATCATCATTGCATCTATATAGGTAAAGAGAAAGACTTATGGTTAAAACCAACAATTTGAACTGCAAGGAGAAATAATTGTTTTTCTATGCACCATTATTTTCCAAGGGTCATCGGAATTCGACGTCGCTCTATTTTCAACAGTTTGCTATCAATCTATTCCGCTGGTTTGCTATCAGCCTATATCCATGGCTAACCTTAAGACACCCGCATTGTTAGTTGGATCGATTTGGTTCGTAAATACCTCCAATTGCAGAAGTACATATGTAGAATATAACTAAAGGTGTCTGCATTTTCTGCATGTATAAAATGGATGACCAAATCGTTGAGTATGGATATTAGGTATGAAAAGGTAAGGTTGTGTTTTATCTCCTTGAAATTGATGGAAACTAGAGCCTAGAGCGTCAAAGTACCATTAAGTGCCAATCAAGGTTGATCCAATTTCGTCCCTCCAGTTATAATTCCCTTTATCCTGCACTAGTTTAATAAACCTCGTTAAATCCCCCGGTAAACCCACACGAATTCCGCAAGTGAACTCTGCGGATACAACTTTGCCCAGAGTCGCATGCGAAAGGCCTGGCTCTCCTGCCAACCATAGTGGTGAACAAAATTAGAATATATCTCAATATATATTACAATAATGGCCTTTTTGCCTCTCAAAAAATGGAAACAGAATGTTAACACAGCTGGGATAATGGCAGCTCATAGCCTCTCAAAGGTAAGCCCTTTTCAATATCTTCAATCATCTGTGGGTTTAGGGAAAATCTTAACTTTTTAACCACCAACACGCACCAATTTGTAATAGCGAATCTTGACTTTCTATTTCCCCACATCTTTGTGTGCGGTTCTTGTTTTTGATTCTGTATCCCGCTCCTCATCCGCCGCCTCCTCTTGTTACACTCTCTTTCACACACAACTTGCTCACACACAACTTTGTCACACACAACCTCTTTCACACACAACATTGTCGCACACAACTGGCTCAAACACACACACAACACTTTGTCACACACACAACTTTGTCACACACACAACTTTGTCACACACACAACTTTGTCACACACACACACACACGCACACACAACTTTGTCACTCACTCTCTTTTCCACACAACATTGTCACACACATCTTGCTCACACACAACCTTTGTCACACACTCTCTTTCACACACAACTCTGTCACACACAACATTGTCGCACACTCTCTTTCACACACAACTTTATCACACACAACATTGTCACACACAACATTGTCACACACAACACTTCCTCACACGCACAACTTCCTCACACACACACACAAGTTTGTCACACACCATCTTTCACACACAACTGTGGCAGGCGTGGCGCTTGCTCACATTCACCTTCGTTTTGCGTGGCAGCGCCGCGGCACTTTGCGTGGCAGGAAGAAGTTGACTTGTGGGGCTATCCGGTCCTTTAATTTTTGGAGGGTCACCTCTGGGGGTGGCTTGAACTCTGACGAAGACCTGGAAACTGTTGACATTCTGACTTGTAGACATCATGATCTACACCATCTATAGATGCTTCTGACATCGCCTGAGTTGGTGAAAAATGAAGAAATATATGATGTTGGGGAAACATGATGAAATGGATCCAAATCAAGCCTGGAATCCCCTGGACAACAGGCACATACAGGCACGCGGAAATGATTGACAGCGTAGGGACAAAATGGAAACATATGGAAACATATGGAAAGCCCAGTTGTCAGGATCTACATATTAGTCAAATCGGGCTATCCCCAAAATGGACTGCACATAATGGCGACTCCGGAGCCCTGCCTCGTTGATGCCTGCTACAATGGCACAAATTTGGCCCAGAACGTATGCCTCGGCTGCCCCCTTCAAACACATGCAAAATGAACATGAAAATGCATCAAGTACAGTATGGTGAGTATCAAATTTGGCCGATTTACATGACATTGACATGACATTAACATGACATTGACATGTTGATATCGCTCAGCAATGGTCATCAAGGCTTATTGTTTACCAATGTGATGCCACCATGCTCCCCCTGGAGTGGCCATGAAAGAAATGGGATCCTTGAAGCTGAACTGGTGACAAGTTCAAACCTTGGTGGGCCCCTGTCATGCATATCTAACAGTTTGCTATTGAAAATGGCCATAGAAATAGTAGAATTACCCATTAAACATTAAACGTGGTGATTTTCCATAGTTATGTCGTTATGTTGACCATTTCTTGTATCAGTTTCGGGCTTCAACATTCAACCCCATCCCCGGAAGCCTCGTAATGCAAGCGAGAAACCCAACAGAATCCTGTGCAAATGACCTCAGCGTTTTGGCATGTTCCAAGGCTCTCACCTTTAAGTTTTTGTTCCTGAAACTGCCCCAAGTTCGCGACAATTATTATAGCTTTAGTTGATGTCGCCGAAAGATATCCTGGATTTCGCACTCCGGAACTCACGTCCCATGTTGAGATGTTCAGCAAATGACTTCTATATCCAACAAACCATACCCACATACGATTCTTCAGATCCATTTGATTTGTTTAACAACCTGAATTTCGGGCAGTCCATTCTTCCACTTATGGCAGGAAAACAGGCAGTGTTCACCTGCTTGGGGCATGCGTCCGAGTTCATAAGATTCAATGAGTAGGTAATAATCGGATAACCACTTCAGAAATTTCAACCACTTCAAATCTCATGCTAACACAGGTCCACCATTGAAAACAAAAATCACTTTTGAAGTGCGAAACGGTCCCAGAGGTGCGCCCGGAGCGGTTAGGGCCAAGGAATGGCCAATAGGAACCAGGCGGCCCAGACAGGGCACATAGCCAGACCTCTTCTGGTTTTTGTTTCTGAAACAGTGTTTTTTGTCAGATTTACCCTTTGGACTCCGGAGTTTTTTTGGAAGCCCGCAGGAACACCTATCCACGGGATCTTCGTACCCTTACCAACCCACAGAAAGCAAAGGCCCGCCGCCACCACTTAGGTGTTCACGAGTGTCCAGCCAGTTGGATATACACGGAAAATCCCTAGAGTGGTTTCTGCAAAAGAGATTAAATATAAACCACTTATAGTATCTTGTAGTACCCCCAAAAAAAAGCAGAAAAAATGAATTCCGCTCGGATAGTGATGAATTCGGGTTCTACCCTTTTGGGGGTTACCGCACAGGGATGCACATCCCAATGTTGACCGCCTTCGGAGCCAAGGTACCATGCAAATGCAAAGCAAAACCTCCAATCCGTTCCTCATGGCAGTGCCATGGCAGTGCCATGGCAACATGTTTATATTTTTCACACATGACCTGCTGCACATACAAGTCACAGACATATGCAGCGCATATGTATTTCATACATCCTAATACCATAAAAACGGCATACACCTGCGACATGGGTTGTGGTATCTATATGATATATAATGTAATCATGCTCAGTTTAAACAAACTCATACAATGGAAACAACAATATCAAAACAGGAAGTGATTGGTATTGTCAGGGCAACTCCCAAAACACAAGATACGTTTGGGTGGAAAATGAGTATATAGATCAATTTTACATAGATAAACCAATATAAACTATGATGAAAAGATATGAATTTAAACACATAACCCTGGAAAGTAGCTATGGTTTACCCAAAATTAAGTCTGTTTGTTTAAAGGAAAATATAAAACACCATAATACCCATCTAGCTATATAGTTCGATGTATCCTCCATAAACCCACCAATTATTGTAGTAATTTGCGCCACCATGACGATCAATTTGAACTACAATACCATCGAACCAATGTTGACTGAACATTTTTGTTGGCTAAATCCAGATTTTTGTTGATTAAGGTGCCATAATGGTTTTCTCTAAGCTGAGCATTTGCCAAGTATTGGCTGCAAACATACCATCCCACACCCCAGGCCACCGGGAAAACTGGAACTCGTCCAAGAATCTGAGGCCCCATATCTCCGTAACCCACCGAAGTCATCGTGTAACCTGAAGCAGTTGTGATGAAACATCCATGATGTTCAAAATGTCAAGTCAATTCCTATTACACTACGGTAAACTAACAGAGATGTGGACAACCCATGGTTTCCTTTCAATAGATACGACTGAGACCAACTTCTATAAACAACAACTATGTTTCATGATTAAAAAAATTATTTTAGCGTGTGTGTGACCCACATCGTGACATTCTTTCTAGCATGCTACCTGGCATCATATCTGACACATATTCTGACATGCTCTATTTCACAGCATTATCTTACAAATACTCTGGCACTTTACCTGAAATATAATGCAGCATTTTACTTGGCATTTGAGGTGGTAATCCATCTGACACTTTTTTTCGGCATCCTTGCCGAATTTTATCTGACATTCTATCGGGCATATATTCCGACATGCTGTCTGGCATCTTGTCTGACACACCGCCGGACATACATTTTGACATCAAATATCCGCATTTGGCATTGCATGCGGCATGCTATCTGGCATACTACCTGGCATCTTTCTGCGTGTCTATCTGACATATAGAGTACCATTCCAACGGACGTTTTATCTGGCATATTTTTCGGCATTCTAAAATAACATAGATTCTATCTGGTTTTTATCTAGGTTTTATCTGGTTTTCTTTCTGACAACTTTATCTTTACATTCTATCTGACACATTATCTGGCCTCCTATCTAGCATTCTACCTGGCATGCTATCTGGCATCTTCTCTGGCTTTTCATCTGATCATATTCCGACTTCTGATCTGGCATTTTATCTGACATATATTTTGACATTCTATCTGGCATATATTCCGACTCTTTATTGCGCGCTTTATCTGTCGTATATCGTTGCATTTTATCTGGCATATCAGCTAACCTCTCATCTAGCAACATATTCTGAAATTTTACATTCCACCTGGCATTTTTTTTGGACAGTTTATCTGTCATAAATTTTGATTTTTTATCTAGCACATATTTAAACACATTTTGGAATTATATCTGACAAATATTTTGGTATTTATCAGTGCTTTATAGCGTGTTGATTTTATCTGGCGTCCTATCCGGCATATATCCTGAAAATTTACTTGACACTCTAAATGACCTTATACTTAATACTATTTTGCCTTCTATCCGACATATCCTGGCATTCTATCGAACATTGTCTATCGGATAAATATATTCAGACCTCTTGGCTGGCATTCTATCTGGCATATATCTGGACATTCTGTGGCATATGCTCTGATTTTGTCTTGCGTTTTATCTGGCGTTCTTTCTGACATATATTCTGGCTTTCTAACTGGCCGTTTCTCTGACTTTCTATTTGGCATCCTTCTGCAATACTTTCTGGGCTATCCTACGTCTACTTAATGAAGACCTTCCCTAGCTACAGGGCAAAAATGCGTACTTGGCCAAGTGCAACCAACTGCTCCTTTATCAAAAAAAATACCATTATCTGTCTATATCCGTCCATTTACTTATGAAGATTCCCGCGCATCTGGCAAAATTTGGAGCCATCTGGGTCACGTATCACAATTCCATAACCTGAAAAAGTCCGGCAATTTGATACATTCCCAATCATTATTTTAGTCAGACACATTCAAGGTGGTGCCGCGCTGCTTTCAGTTGAGCCAATGACCGAAGGTGTGCCACTGTGCCCTTGACTAGGCTGAGGAGCTGCAAAAGTAGTAGGCCAGCACATAAGTCCTCGGAGTGGATCCCCTGACCCACAATGTCTGGAAGGTGTCAGGGACGAAAAAGAGGATCCAACCTGCGAAGGTTCTGCCCTATATACTTTGCATGAATTCAATGGATCGACTTAATTAATTATGCTGATTTAATTTTAATTTTGCTGGAAACGCTGGTTTGCAGCATCAATGCAGAACTAAAATAACTCCCTATCTCCCGACAATGCCTCCCTTTAACCAATCCCTTTTCCAATCAAAGACAGGGGACCGTGGAACCCAAAAAATCATGTATATATATATATAAATGTATATATATATATATATGTATATATATATATGTATATATATATACATATGTATGTATATATATGTATATATATGTGTGTATATATATATATATATGTATATATAAATGTGTATATATATATATATATGTAAATATGTATATATGTATATATATGTGTATATATGTATATATATATATATATGTATATATATATGTACATATATATATATATATATATATGTACATATATATATATATGTATCTATATATTTATATATATATAATTATATGTATAGATATATGTAAATATATATAATTATATGTATAGATATATGTAAATAAATAAAAAAATATGTATATATATATATATATATATATGTATAGATATATGTAAATAAATAAATATATATATATATATATATATATTATATGGTCGCGTCTTCCGTGGTTCTGCCCCCCCAATGGTACGGGTCCCCAGGTAGCACCCCCGTCACTTCAATTTGCAAGCTACTGGCAGCATTTCTGAGATCCAGCCTCGTATTTGCTAGGTCTTTGCAGCATTTCTGACTACCAGCCTCGCATTTACTAGGTACATGCCACCTTTTAGACGACCTACGTAGCACACATACTCCCTCAAAGTACCTACGTGCTACCTATAGTCATATATACACGTGCTATGTATCTACCTTCCCATTTACTACCTGTGTACTCTCACAACACTACACGTGTTTAACATATACTGTACCTACCATACATTGCAATGATACCATACATACCATACATACCATGCAAACTTTGACCATACATACCATACCTATCATACATACCACACATACCATACATACATATGACACAGAATTACCACACATACCATACATACAATTCCAAGCATACATGCCATACATACCATACCTACCTTACATAGCAAACATTCCATACCCATCATAGCAACCATAAATACCATACAAACCATACATACTGTCACATCAAACATACCATACCCAACGGACTTACATACCATACCTACCATCCATACAATACCAACCCTTCATGCCATACATACCATACCTACCATACATACCATACATTCCAAACATGCCATACCAGGTCGCCCGTACACACCATATATACGATCAAATATAACATACCATACCCAACATACTTACATACCACCCCTACCATCCATACAATACCAACCATACATGCCATACATACCATACCTGCCATACATACCAAACATACCATACATGCCAGGCATACCATACATACCATACCAACCATACATGCCAAACATACCATACATATCAAACATACCGTACATGAGATAATTACATACCATACTCACAATACCCACCATGCCATATATATATATTGTCATACATGCACTACACCCCCCTCAGCACCACACACCTCGCACCACACACACCCAACCACACCACAGGGGGGGAGGGGGACAGTACTATGGCTGACCCATGACCATGGCCGGGGGGTTGGAACGATGGACCATATATATACAAATATATATCTGTGTGTGTGGGGTTTGGGCAGAAACTTGCTGTTTTCCAGAGGTGCTTGAAAGATCATCTAAACTACGTATATAACTGGTTAACAAACCTGGTTGGCCCTCCCATTCAGAACTGGGTTGTAGCCCCACTTACTGACCAAAAACAATTGGATCGTGGATGTTGGGTGCCTTCTACGATCCTGAACGTGGCTCTCGGGTTGCGTGATAACACAGGGTATGGTTGAAAATGGCCCTAACAAATCAAATCCAAAATTCTTTCTTCGAGTGACCCCTACCAACTGACATTCTATCTGGCATTCTATCTGCAATATATGCTGGCATGTATTATGATCCTCACATTCCCTTTGGCATTCTGTGTGAAATTCTATCTGGCATTCTATCCGACATATATATACTTGTTTTGGCATCCCATCTGATATTTTATCTGGCATGGTCTGACGTTTTACGTTCTGGCACCTGAGCTGGTATTCTCATTGCATCTGGCATTCTACCTGACATTTCAACTGGCAATCTATCTGGCATTCTACCATTCATTTTGTCATTTTATCTGCCATTCTATCTGGCATTCTTTTTGGCAGTCTATCTGACACATGTTTTGACATTTTATCTGACATAAATTCTAACACGATCTGGCATTCCATCTGACACAAATTCTGACATTCTACCTGGCATTCTACCTGACATATTTGAAGGCGTTCTATGTGACGTATATTCTCACATTTTACCTGGCATTCTTTCTGGCATGTGTTTGGGTCCGTACATGCCCTGACTGATCCGGAGCTCGCCATACGGTTCGGGTCCGTGCGTGCCCCGAATGCCATGGACCAAGGCGGCAGAGGAGCATGGGACCAGCACCTTTGTTAAAATCGACCACTCACCTGGCAGGTGGAAAAAAAACTCTTTACCAACAAGGCCCTCTTTGGGGCTAATGGGTTTTACACTTAGATATCCAAGCTAAAGTAAAGTCAAGCATCTGGTATCCAGTCAGTTGCTCCATTCCATATTCCCTCAGACGAGCACTGATGCGGATTTCAGATCCATTAAGCATGAAAGAAACATGAAACTAACAACCTACAATGTTCTCTTTACACTGTTACACGAGAGTAGGTGATATTATTTGCTGTGTTTTTGTTGGTCAATCGGATGGGGTAAGATTGTCATGTTCCCAGTTATAAGTTGGTCTGGTTTATAAACCCCATTAACTATAGTTCTCTATTTCCGGGCAGAACACTGAATGACAAATGGCGCACCTGTTTTGTTCGTGATGAAAGGACACAGCTTTCAAGAGGGCTCTCAATATTGTCATGTTATATCTACCATATATCTACCATATATCTACCATATATCTACCATATATCTACCATAAACCATAGTTAAGCCTGTAATCTAAATCTGAATTTCCCAGAGGAAACGAACGTTGTCAGATCCCAGCAGCTCCCGCTCAAGGTTGATCGCGTCTCTCCAGGAGGCCTGGCAGTTTCAACCACCCAGTCGACTGGGAATGGTTTCTATATACCACCTAAAAAATGGTGGCTGGGGGATGTTTGATTCATGTTTGTGAATTATTGTGTTTTACCCACATCTTTTTGAGATGAGTTGCTCATTTTTTGTTGCAACTGTTTTGCTCAAGGTTCTAGGTTTTTTTTTGAGACATGTTGACACCTGGTCTTAAAACCAGTGATAAAGATCTCGGTGACGCCGAAGGCCCAAAGATCCCCGAGGCCGAGGATAGAGCCGTGCCACATGTTTTGAAACATTGTTTTTTACAGCAAACAAAATTAAAATGATATGTGCCAAAACCAATGAGATTGGAATAATCAGAGGTGCTCAGGTCTTTTCAATAATCAATTTTATTTAATAGAATAATAATCAGTTTTTGAGATTGCCTCAGCTGGAAACCATGGATATCAACGGTTATTGACCTCTTTACTGGAGACGTTCGTTGTTGCTGAAACAAAACTCTCTCCGCAAAAGATGGTTTCTTGCGGAGAAGCAAACCCTGCACCTGCAGGTCTGCAGCAAACTTTGCCAGAGAACTAACAAATATACGTTATCCCCGCCATGGCATCTATACGTTTTGTTACTGGCAAATCTTCTGGCATTCTATCCGACATATCTTCTGGCATTTTATCTGGCATATCTTCTGCAATATGTTCTGGCATATCTTCTGGCACTATCTGGCATATCTTCTGGCATATCTTCTGGCTTTCTATCTGCCAAATCTTCTGGCATATGTTCTGGCAAACATTCTGGCACTTTATCTGGCATACCTTCTGGCATTCGATCTGACATTCTATCTGGCATACCTTCTGGCATTCTATCTGGCATTTTTTCTTGGATTTCATCTGACATATCTTCTTGCATTCTATCTGGCATATCTTCTGGCATTCTACCTGGCATATCTTCTGGCATTCTATCTGGCATATCTTCTGGCATATCTTCTGACATTCTATCTGGCAAACCTTCTGGCGTTCTATCTGGCATACCTTCTGGCACTTTATCTGGCATACCTTCTGGCATTCTATCTGGCATATCTTCTGGCATTCTATCTGGCAAACATTCTGGCACTTTATCTGGCATATCTTTTGGATTCTTTTGGCATTCCTTCTGGCACTCTATCTGGCATTCTATCTGGCATATCTTCTGGCATTCTATCTGGCCGTTGAGGTCCAGCGGTGCTCACTGAGCTCGGAGGGTCCCAGGTTGAGGTCCAGCGGTGCTTAGTGAGCTCGGAGGGTCCCAGGTTGAGGTCCAGCGGTGCTCACTGAGCTCGGAAGGTCCCAGGTTGAGGTCCAGCGGTGCCCAGTGCGCTCAGACCCTTGCGGTTGAGGTCCAGCAGTGCCCACTGCGTGCGGAAGTTGGCGAAGAGCTTGGCGAAGAGTTGGCAAGGTGGAAGTGAACATGGGAGTGGATGCAAAGGTGGTGGAGAAGCTGGAGGAGAGGGAGGAGGAGGAGAAGGAGGTGGAGGATGAGGAGGAGGAGGAGGCGGAGGAGGAGAACAACTGTGATAAAATCTAACAGCCCTCACCTGAAAGGTGGGGAATTTCATTAAACTATTAAAATGCGATAAACAAGAATTATTTGGGAGGTCTGAGCTGACAACTTCTGAGTTTGTTGTGAGTTTCAGGCTTCAATAATCGAAAGTTGCGAGAAAAGGTTTGTTTCTGTTTGGGAAGCTCCCAGTTGGCAAGAAAACAGTTCTTTCCAGTCTGCAACACTGTTGTGCTGAAACTTGCGTACAAACAAACAGTAAATTCACTCAGACAAGCGGACTTTGTTTCTGGTGTTCAAACGCTTGGCTTTTTAGTCTACAAGGAAAACTCCGGACAAAACATGTTCTGACGGAACCTAGCTCCCTACTTCACAGAATTGGATGATGGGACAATTTACAGGAAACCCCATATATTTGATGGTAGATGTTCCATTGAACCAATCCAGTGATTACGGCAAATGTGAAGCCCAATCATTATGAATTGCTGAACTGTTCTTTCTTGGCTGAAATAAACCAAGACTGGAAGGTGTTGCCATTCACAACTCCGGCACTGACCCATGGTCACTACATGTATCTATAATAAAAACACATCTCTATATATATATATATGATTATATACAAATATCTAAAATTATCTATATCTATATCTGTATCTCTATATCTACATCTATATCTGTATCCATCTATATATATATATATGTATTTCATCGAAAAACCTTGGCTAGGTTGGAGCGTGGGTTAACCACGGTCACGGTTTACTGAGTTTACTGTCATTACAATCAACCCCATATGGGAAAGAACAATTCAGGTAGCAAGACCTGCAACTTGTTCCAATCAAATTTGCAATGTATATATATATATGTATATTAGCAATAAAGAACATTTACATACATTTACTCAGTCTTAGACAAATGCCCTCTTCTCCCTCATGAAATGCCCCCACCAACACAAGCCTCGGTTTACTAGGTCCATTTGGCGGGGAAACAAAGGATATAACGGGGATGGGATTATGAACATTTACCAACCATAATCCATCATAATCCCGTTGTTGTTACAGTAAATCCCTGACATTCACCCAAGTTTACCTAAAGAACTGGGAAAAAAACACCATGATGATTGCTGCTATTCAACGACATGCACGGCAGGGAGACTCCTCTTGCCAGCCAAAACTCTTGCCTCGTGGTTGTCCACATGAAGGGAGAGGCACCAAAGGCAGGCGAACCAGTGGCAAAGTAGCAGCAATAAACCTTGATTAGATGCCGTGGTGAACCATTGCTGGATTTATTTTCGATATAGGGAAATCATTTACACATGTATGAGAAACTACGGGGTACTCGGGTAACCATGGACACATATAAGGTAAATATGGGAAAATATGGAATCATCATCTAAAAAATGGTTACATGGTTGATTGAGTATGATTTAGTCACGGTGCAGAAACGGGGGGTCTCATGGCTATCAGGTTTTGAGTTCACCGAATTCTGATGGAATACGCATCCGTAAACTATGAGATGCTCAGAAAGAAACCCATTCGAGTGAAGATGTTTGACATGTTCATCATATTCTATCGACTCCAGGAAGACTGAAATACTGTATGTCGGCCACGGTGGATCAAGGATGAGGACAAAATTGACAAAATGGCAAAACATCACCACTTTAGACATGGCAAACATCGGGGACACAATGGCAAAGAAGTGCTGGTATGGAATACACCAGGCAACTTACAGTAAACTAGCCCGGCTGAAGAAGATGCGTTGGTTCCCAATGTGTGCAAATACCAATGTAAATAAAAATCCCCACTTTCCTTGGTGAAATCGGCGTTCTTTCCAAGTTGAAGCCGTTTGTCTTTATCACCGAGCAGCCCAGAAATCTCAAGAGAAGCCATTCTTGCCTCAGGGCCATAGGGTTGTCCCATCTAGATTTGTGTAGAAGCTGAATGGATCAAAGGTAACATTGACATTGGTACACCAAAAATTGCCTCAGTTCATTCAACAAACCAAGAGAACCCATCTATAGGAAGAATCGATGAAGGTCCTCAGTTTGCGACATTTTGCGACCCATGTGTGCCCCAGGGCTCTGTTATAAGCCCAGCCGCTGATGCTTGATGGAATATGGCACCTCGATCAAGTGCCACCACCTGCGGAGCTTATTTTAAGTGGAAACGATATGTTTTTGCCAAAGGGGGGGGTTCCGTACAGGGTTCCATGGATCTCTTGTCACTTGGTTGGGAAAATGGCTAGGAAACCAGCCGCCGAGAATCGGCTCCATGGACATAATGAGCCAACAAAACTGGGTATACCATGGTAATCCATGGTATATTATCCCAAAATTTGATGGTTTATGCCTACAAATGGCAAGGCACGGCAAGTCCTCTGGGTGTGCTACTTGGACCAGCTCCAGAAAATCTTCTTAAAACATCTGAAAACCATACGTTTGCAGGTCCAGTCCAATGATTTCCGCATGTTTCTTTTGCATATGCCAGAAAATATCCCCACTCTTTTGCTGTATAGCCCATAGATCGATGCCTCGAAGTCTTTAGCAGGCGAAAGAGTTTCAGCATCCACCTGGCTGCACCACAGGATGTGGTGCAAAAAAAGTGCCGTTGCCACGACACGAAGATATCGGAGGTTGTGTATGCATGCTGCATACATGTTCTACAATCTTGTTATATACATATATAATAATAATAATAATATAAAATTACAATATCTATATATATATATGTTATATTATATGTATAATACATATTTTGATTGTTGCATTGTCAATAAATGTGTATAGATGGACACACTGGAGTAATATGATACGTACAGTAATTACATGTTTAAAGACGTTCATTGTTTAGTTTCATTTCAATCTGCAAATTGAATGTGGTTGCATCTCAGTGTGTCTCTCGAATTTGAATATCTGAATGCATAACTACGTGCCCTCCTATGTCCTCAAACATGGCTGCCTCGAAAATCCACCATTTCTATAGATGATTTTCATATTGAGACCTCCATTTCAGGGATTTCCAATTGCCACGTTTGATTGCCGGAGTAGAACCTAGTCACACAAATATAATCCAATATATATATATATATATGTGGCGTGGGTTAATCTAAAACATCTCAGCCAGCGGTGTAGAAATGCTGACACTAACATAAACATTTTCCACATCGATCTCTATACAGTACATAATATGTATATATATATATATGCATCTAAATTAAATAATGTTTATTGTTGGGATCACCCCAATGGCTGGCTTTCAAAACGCCCCGAACAGCTGATATTTGGGGATTGCTTTTATTGCAGTGGATCCCATAGAATGGATATATATATATATATTATATGCATGATTTATATACACACACGCATATGCATATACGCACGCATATAGATAGACATATGATATACAGGAAACCAATACCTTTAAATTATGATTATTCGTATTATATAGACAATATATATATATATATACATAGAGATTACATTTCCTGCATGTGCCCTGTATGCCTGTATGCTAACATAGATACGGACTGTCCACCATGAAATCGATCTCTGGGAAAAAGCATTGACTTTCCGTTTTTCCCATATGTTTTGCCCACTCGAAGTGCGGTCAAGGGTCAATATCCGCACCGTTCGCCCCTCGATGTCCAGAGTAAATACCCCTGGCAAAGCGCAGCGCGCGAAAATGGGGACGGGATGTGGGCGAACTCCATCAACGGAAACAGAAAGGGGAATTCTGACTTTGTGACTAATAGGACTTTACTGTGACCAATTCTTTCGAATTCTTTGTCATCAACTCACCTGGGATTTGGGATTGTGAAAATCGATGGAAAATGTTGTCGGATTACAATGAGCTACAATACTACATCACCATGAACACAATAGGACACCTCACGCAAAACCTTGGATTTGTGATTTGTGTATAGTATTGTTGGAATCCAGTTGTAACTGGGCTATGTCAAGCGATTTAGCTGATAGTTTACTCATGATGAGCCTATTGCTCTGGTTGATCTGGTTGGGCCATTGAAACGTGAAAGTCATCTGACATCATCTTAATGTTATAATGGAAATCCAAACATCGGATTGTCACTTTCCTGCAACTGGGGTGGCCATTTCAGGCAAGTTGGAACTGAACTTCAAGGCCTAGGGTGAGAATCTCGCTCAAAGGGGATTAAACTTTCGGCGACCCAGACAATTTGAAGCGCCATGTGGGCCCACGATGGTACCCAAAGTCGGTTGTTTTTGTCAACATTAATGCTCAAAACCACAGTTTCTTCTAGTTCTTATTTTTTCATATGTTTTTACCCTTCATTCTTCAAGTAAACATAAATTAACAGTTGGCCAATGCAAAGCCCACTTAGTATTTCCCAGTCCGACGTTCACAGATTTTCCATGCTACAGTTCCCCAGGGATCCCCAGGGATCCCCGCGCCTAGGAGGTCGAAAGGTATTGCTACCAGCAGGTCGCAGAAGAACCAACTCTGCAAGTAGTGGAGGGCGATCCTGTCATGGGATCAGCGAGCTTGAACAATTCCATAACACATAGAAGATTTAACAGTTCGCGAACTGGAAAGATTCACCATGTTTAATAGGTAAACAATGGTAAACAGGTAAACCATCTATTTTCATGGGCCATTTTCCATAGCTATGTTAGTTTACCAGAGGGCAACGATCTGTATACAAAGAACATTGCTACATGCTGAAACTCACTCTATGCGTATTTAGACAAATATAGTGATAGGCACATTCAGGTGATAGTTTTGGGGTGGTAAGGGTTGAACGGAATCTTTTGACTCACCGGTGATAAATTGGCAAAATGGTCACGGGTCAGAAATGAAACCCAAGGAAGCAAATTGAAAGCCTTGATTATGTTCAATATGCACGCACACACACACAGACCCATATAAATATACAGTATGACTTTAACATACTAATATACATTAATACACACAATAGATCATGCAAACTATCGCCATTGCCAAACGCAATATATAAACCGCCAATTTTGGGGTGGTTGCCCTTCCCTATCACCAATGTCCAAACCTAAAATAAACAAAGCTATATCATAAATAGACCCAACAGTTCAAACATGGCTTATCATGAATTGCCGGAAAATCCATGATCGATGAATTTCCCATTCGAATATCCACTGGTTGATGGTTTCAACCCCTCTGAAAAATATTAGTCAATGGGAAGGATTATCCCATATATTATGGAAAATAAAAAATGCTAGAAACCATCAACCAGATCCATTTCTAGGGGATTGCTCATTGCCAGCCGTTTCCTGGAGGATCCTGGCTGAATTTTTTCGTCTCCTGCGGAGGCTGTTCACACGTTTGAGGCCGACGCTGGTGTGCACCGTGATCTGCACCTTTGATGCGTCAGAAACGTGGAAGGGTCGATGGAAGAATTGGCAGGGCCCCTTGGAAACCCAGGGTTTAGGATCTTCTATTTCCAAAGGTCCGAAACATGAAAACATGTTTGGGACATATTTGGACGATTTGTTTGGAGCTAATTAATCGGTCATGGTTGATTTACCGCGCCCACTAAAATAGACTGACAAATTGTAAAGGAAATATTTGACCTTTTTTTTGAGGGGGGGGCTCCTGGCATATTAACTATCCGGTGGACAGGAAGGAGCCAAGCAGCCAGGAAGATTCACCAAAGCCCAAAAGATTTCCATCAATCAGTCTTAACACGAGCGAACATCATGAGTTATACACCATCATAACTATACATCTCCAAGGGGCAAAGAACTGCAAGACCAGGTCAATGATAAACACCGCATCCACCAGAAAGCCTAAGTCGCGCAAGAACCGGGTTCACCATCCGGCCTGGGAGATCGAGACCTTCCAAATACACCAGCAAAATGATAAAAGTACTAACATTATGCGGTAAAACACCATTTTGAAGGGTACAAACAGATGGTCCAAGTATATCCATGTACATCCAATCATATGCCAAAATTTGGGATGGTTTATGGCCTTGGGTTTACCTCAGATGTTTTGTGGGACATTTTACAGGATGGTTCCCCGGTGCAGTGCGGTCGCTTTTTCTGTTTGCCAAGTGGGTGATGAAACCGCAGCAGTTAAAAACTGGGATAGCATGGGAACACAGGAAGAGGAAGAGATTATAACCCTGAGGTAAACATAGTTGATCCAATAAATACATATAAATACCCATGTCGAGACATCACTATCGGCAAGCAGAGTGGACCCCCACTGAACTTACAGCAGTGCGAATCTTAGATACCCAAAAATAAACAAATATAATAGTTGTTTCGTAGATTTGCGTAGTGTATCCTCTCTTTTACAGCGAAACAAACCAGAAGTGTTAAACTTCGTGTTAAAATAGCCATCCAGCCGCTTGACCCAGATCCCCAGAATCATATCCTAATAATACCCACCGCAAATTGATTGAATCCAGCCGACTTTATAATGCTTGTCCATGAGACCCTATGGTAGTTCAACGTAGCTATTGGACATGGCCATAGAAATAGTTGATTTACCCATTAAACATGGTCATTTTCCATAGCTGTGTTAGCTTACCAGAGGGTAATATATAGTTCAATACAGTGTGATCCTTGTTCTGATGTATTACAGTTTCATACAGGATCACTAAAATATACAAGGACGCAATGGATTACCATTTAATGCCCGTTGGTTTTGATCCCCATTTCAATCCAGCCGCTTGGCTGCGAGTAAGTCATTAAAGATCACCGGCTTCCTCGTTTGCTGATGGTTATATAAATCATGTGGAGTCCCCTATTATATTGGTAATTAAATATTGAACACACCAATTTTCAGTGGCCTTCACCAAATTCTTGCTCAAGGAAAGTTCATTCCAATCACACAACAACCTTTGTGGTTTCAATTTACCATGTTTTGTCTAATGGTTACAATGTATCTATATAATGTTATTATCCCCATGAAAGCCATTTTATGGCACATCCATCCTTGATTGCTGATAAATCATAATAAATCATCACCATGGATTATTATGAATCACTATGGCTATCTTTTTTACATCATATATATAAATATTGATATTATTTACATATTATATATATATGTGTGTGTGTGGCAGTGTGTATCCCATTAAATCCATCCAGCCGGTTGGCCAAAAGTGTCGTAGCATATTAACCCCAAAAGAGGTGCAAATTGGGTGTACCCTCTGGTGCTAACGGCGAACACTTCGCTCTGGAAGCCATGGCCAATATGATGAGAAACATTGATAAACATAATTACACATGATGATTCACCTATCAAAGTGATGATGTTCATTGATTTTCCTCAAAACTGATACTGCTAGAGGGTATATTATTCAAATCATGGTCAACTCATTCTCCTGTCATATCTGCCAGCGTCGGCCAGCGTCATCTCTGCAAAAAAAGCAGCCGAAAACCAGGAAGAACGACATCTCCAGCTCCATAGTGCAAGCCTGGCTTCGCTAAGAAGACGATTCGTGGGATTTATGGCATCATCTTATATCTAGTTGATGGTGTTTATAAACCAAGTTAGAAGTGTGGAAAACCGCCTTGTACTCAATTTCAGATAGTTAAGTTGCTGAACAGAATGATTGGCCCAGGTTTGGATTTGTGTTGAATATCTCGAACTAGTTGAGGTAATATAAGCCAACACACATGTGCAAACATAATTGCGGCCGGTCAAAGGACAAGCATCTACCTGTTGATGAAACTGTTGCGTAAGGAGGGCAACAGAAGGCCTGCAGACTCTACAGGGTATCCACCAAAGGACAAACATGTTTTTGTTTGCCGTGAGCTTCCAGGTGAAACATAATCTTCCAGGTTCCAAGTTCCAACTTCAGCGTTGTGGTTGAATGATGTTGAAATATGTTAAATGAATGTTAAATGTATAGTTTTACCATGGGCGCACCGGCCCTCCAGTCATTTCGGAAATCGTTATGGGGATCAAGTTCTCTCGGCCGCCAACGGAGCCAGGATTCAGAAGAAGCACAGTCCAATCTTGGTACCAGTGCAGTCACTTCGCATCACTGGCAACGCTGTACCATCTGGTAAACTAAGGTCATGTGCAAAATTAGGACATTTACTATTTACCACACCTTACCACACCTTACCCCATAATAACCAATATATCCTCATAAGATCCGATTTCATATCAATCCATATCAATCCATATCAATCCAAATCAATCCAAATCAATCCATATCAATCCATATCCATATTGATCCATACTAAACCATATGAATCCATCCATAATCCAACCTAGCCCATACTGAAACACCATTAACAATATGAATACGGACCAAATCCCTGTCCCGCCTGAAGAGGTGTGATCAAGGCCACATAGAGGGCCGAAGCGGTGATGACATCTGGGCAGTGCAGGCATGGCCAACTGGTGAGTGCATATGAGTGCATATCTATATATATATATACACACCGTATATGCAAACTGTATATAAATATGATACACACATATATATAATTATATATATAGTGCATGAATATATCATATCATATATCATATATCATATTATATCATGTATATATATATAACATATTATATGATATATATTTGTGATCATATAATATATCCACATTCCAAGCCAAAATGTAGAAATTCTACACTTGCAAACAAAAAAACTGCGGTTGGATCATCGGGGGCACCCAATGACAATCAAGACACATTTCCAAATGACGCCATAGAAGAAAGTGTCAGGATTGACAACCTCAGCACCAAGACCATCCAAGACATTTCCAGGGGCTGCTAACCTGAATATCCTGAATCACTTCTCTGGCTTTGCTGAAACGATTTAATGATTACCCGATTAGGGTATTTAGTATAGCCATGGAAATTGGCCAATAGAAATAGGAGATGGTTTACCCAGTTAAAAATGGTGATTTTCTATAGCTATGTTGAATAACCAGAGGGCAATTAAAATATGATATGACGCTACGGATGGCCGCCTGGCCAGGAACAAGATGCACAGCAGGGCCAACAGGAGGGATCACCAAAATCGCTGAAATCTGACATGACCAGCTGGAACTCCAGCACAAATAATGGGTATAGTGGGCTAGTAGGAAACGGCCAAAAATGGCCAAATTACAATAATTCACCAACCTGAATTGAGCAACTTTGGTAATTAGGATTGCTAACCAAGATTCGCAATGACTTCTTCCCAAGGAATGCAGCCAGGTCGCATACCATGGTTTGTATTTCGACGTGGTGCCGATTGTGCCAGATCGTGACTGCCAAATTACAGACTCGGCGGACGGGGGCACGGAACTCAAGATCCATACCAATCTTGGGAAGGCACCCAAATTTACACAACTGCGCACGCACATATCTGATGGATCATCCTGGGTCCTAGATATTACCATTATCATCCATTATATTCCATTATCATTACTACCCGTAATTATGACAATTAGCCGTTGCCGAATGAGGTCTTGTAATTGCATTGGCCAAAGGATTAAACAACATGTCGTCCAAACTTGCCTGGTTTATACGCTGAACCATCACTATCCTCCGTTTCAAATGGCATTTCTGGACAAGGCTTGGTAGGCCATGTTTGATTTGCAATAAGTGGGGGCATAAAATATGCTAAGAGACTAAGATTTAAGCCAATTTAAGCGCACATGGCTTAGTCAGTGCTTCGTCAGCACATTGCACATCCCCACTGGTCATGGGTTGAATTGTCTACTACCCTCATACTGTAAAGTCATGCTAATCACAGTAAGTTAGTAAGTGTGGCCTTTGCGATCAGAGTACTAATGTCACAAACAACGAATGTTGGCCAACAAATCTGTGTGATGACCAATACAAAAATGCTATGCAACTAATGTGACATTGTTTCTACCCGAAACAATAACTACGAAAAGTAAAGTGCCACAATGTTCACTGACATTTTACCTGATACTTTGATGGCAGCTCAAGTAGTGGAGTTGGTGAACTGGACAGTAAGTGGGTATTCTCGTGCCTGGCCTTCAAACCAGTTTTTTGGGATTTCTGGAAGATCTTAAACCACAATTTTAAAGTAAGAGTTGACCAGGCTCTACCCATCTCATCCCATCTCATCCCATTTCTATGTTTTCTGAAGGGGGGGCCATTTCATAACATTTCTATACATTTTTTCACCCAAGTTGCCATGGTTGCCCTGCGCAAGCTGGAGGACACTCTCAAGGACGCCTCGGCAGCGTGAAAAAAGCGGATTCACCATGAACTATTGGGATTTCATCAACGGTGATGTGCTGACTGTTGAAGCGTTAAAATTGGGCGTTCAGCAGCCAACAAAATGGAGCAAACATGGCCAATTTTTGCATCAAAACCTGCGTCTCACAGCCTGGTAATGGTTGTGCCTTTATGATACTGTAACTCGAACGGTAGATACACTCCCAACAATCAAATCAATATAGCTAGTTATGTTTAGGAACTTCACCATCCAAGGCTTTCCTTCCTCTGGAAGCAGTTGTGAATCTCCCCCAACAATACCAATGAAAATTTGGGTATGTTCAAGCATAACTGTTGCGTAATCCAAAAATGGGATTTAATTACTAGAAACCAGACTTGCTTTCAGTTTGCCAATTGGGTTCTTCATCAGTTTTGACCTTGTTCCTGTTGGTAGTCTCAGCTCGTGGAAGCTTTCGCTGTGGGGCTACTATCCATGTTCGATTGATAGAAACGAACTAAATCATGGCCAATCTATTAGTTACCCTTGCCAAGAAATTAGCTGGTCAGTACATATCCCCATTTTAGAAACATATTGACAATCATATTGAAGTATATTCAAGTACTAAACTATCCATCACTAGTTGGTTTACCATGGTTTAACCATATTTTGATGCTTAACTGATGTCAAAAATACAGCCCCCCCCTACAAAACAAATCTTGATTGGGACCCCGGCAGAATTGGAGATACGGCTTCCAGCACTGAAGCCGGCCTAGGGGCGGTTCGTGGAAGTTGGCGGCAAAGGCCAAGTCCCGCGATAGTGATAGATAGTGCTAGAAAATGAATGGAATATTAAGTGTAATATTGGTTTAAAAACCCCATGGTCTAGTTGGATATATCTACCATCATCATAGTTAGCCTAATTACAAACCAACTATAATAGCTATTGTTTGAGGGCCCCAGCTTGTGGTCATGTTTGTCTCCCGCGTGCCACAGCTACCAGTCAAACTCCATGCGGCCACCAACCACAAGCGTTTGATTTTCCAAGCTAGAAACCTGCAGTTTGAACGGGGATTTCTCATTGCCATGTTTGATTCCGAAAGGACCAAAGGGTAAACCTATGTTTTTCCCTGTGGTAAACAAAGAGAATAACACTAAATCTTTGCAAAGCGATATCAAGGACATGTTCATGGCATTTCATGCATTTTCAACCATGAACAACCATGGGTTTGTCTGAAAAATCGCCACCATCCCCATTATTCCCAATGTGTGTATCATGGTGTATCAATCACACTCCCTCCGCCTACCGCTTGGCTTTCGATGGCCCGGGTGTCAAGTGGCATGCTCGGAACCCCAATTTTTGAGGCTCAACGACCGTGTCTTCATCGGCGCTGAGATTCCAGCTGCACGGCCTTCCTCGGTCGCAGAGGTTGAAGTTTTCACGTACTAGCGAAGGGTTTAAGTCACATCAGTTGGGCAGAAGTCACATCAACCCCATGTAACAGCGAGTTGGAAGAAAGTCACATCAACTGGGCAAAAGTCACATCAAAATATCAAAATCCCAATGGCACACCGGCTTTCAAGGAATGTTGTTATATCTCCAAAAATGAAGAAAACATTGCGCACACTGAGGTATTCACATATGTTTAAACTATGTTTTCAAAGGATATATTTAGGAATCACCATGGCACACGGCCTCCCAGATCTTTAACTTTGTTTCCTAACAAACATAGATTTCCATGTAATAGCTATGGGCAACATGATCATATCAACAACGTTAAAATCTGAAAACCCAGTGGCACACCGCTGTCAACATCCGCTTCCGCTTGAATGTTTCATAAGTTCTGCCTTCTGTAAACATTCCCTCTCTCTGCTGGCGTCTCCCGCCCGTATCTCCCGCCAGCGCCAAACAAGGCGACCGAGACTGTAATTTTCTTTTTCGGCAAAATGTTTGCACCAGCGGCAGCAGCAGCAGGAGGAAGCAGCAGCAGCAGCAGGAGGAGGAGGAGGAAGCAGCAGCAGGAGGAGGAAGCAGCAGCAGCAGCAGGAGGCAGCAGCAGCAGCAGGAGGCAGCAGCAGCAGCAGGAGGCAGCAGCAGCAGCAGGAGGAAGCAGCAGCAGCACCCATTTATCCATATTGTTTTTTTTCCGAGGATATATATAATGAATTATATGAAACAAAAAACATATTCCTTGCATATACATTTTCCCCAAGTGGTTTCTCCGACACCAAATCCAGGTCCACGGGGCATCCCTTTTCTCCAGCTCCAAGTGCTCCAAGCGGGCACTTTGCCGCTCAAGCTCCTGGCTGGATGCTAAGGGATCGTTTTGTTTTTCCATTTGGCTTCTTTCCGTTGGAAAAAAAGGGGGCTCCCGTGAATTTTTGCCTTAAACCAATCCATTGACATATTATGCCATATTATGACATATTATGACATATACATACATATACGTTGTTTTTTTCCGTATTCTCAGGACGACTGGAAAGAAAAGAATCAGAAACTGATTTCTTAGGCCCATGAACATATTTTGAGGAAACATATGCTTGATGGGAAAACATGAGGGAAACTCATGGTTTCCCGATGTTTCCGGTAGCTTATATATCTTTTACCAATCCTATATGCATGTTTTTTCCTTTTCAACCACCATATGATGGACCTGATTTCCGCCGGCATCCGCGTCCTGCTGCAGTTCTTGAAGTAACTCCTTAGCCAAGCGGCTTGGCGGCTGACAGGAGATGAAATGTCTGGCTATGTGCGACGGTACTATCTGGTACTATCATATGGTTGGTAGTAGCTCCTTGGCCCCCCATTTTTCATAGGCAATATGGATACCCCTAGCTCCGAATTGCTCCCTCCCACTCCATTTTTTGTAGATGCCGCGTGGACTTCTGAAAAACAATGATCTTATTAAAAAAAATGCGCTGGCCGTACGCACCAAGAAAAACTTCAGTTTCAGCAGGTTGATACTGTACCTCCCAAGCATCAACCTGGCCCAAATCAACTATCAAATTATCAAACCTCGCTTTGGTCATTTGAAGCCAAGCATTTTTGGGACTAACCTACTAACCATGGTGAAATATGTTGGTAGTCCACAAAAAATCATCTTTTGCTAATTACTGTTACTTTCCCATTTATAGAAAAAAATCAAGGATTAATCGACCCATCCAAGGGCGGGGATTTTTTTTACCACCGGTGAAGTGTTGGAAGAACACTAAAACCACACCAAACACCAAAGATCACCAAAGTATGTTAAAATCGTGTAACTCTAGTAAATCAATTGCAATTCTTACCCTGAACATAAAATGTGAACATCAAAAGGTGGATGGTCTTTGGGCACATATGACCTTCACGAGAATGGCCCTGGGCTTGGTCAGCCATTGGACGTCACCATTAAACTCTTCAAATGACAATACATTAAGTGTGGGACCCGGGTAAGGTGGTTTATACTGAACCCCAATGTAAAATGATATAATTATGAACTATTTGATGATTTGTTTTTTAATATATATAATTATATTATATATTATTTATTTCCTTGGCGGCGTATATAATAATATGAACCAACTTACCTATCTTGGGACGCCTGACATCTAAAAAAACATTAATTTCCGCCAAGCTTCTTGCCAGCGACGCTTTCCCTCGCTGGACGCCATGGGAACATATGGGAACGCAGAAACCAAAACGCTGTGAGCTGCTGAAACCGTAACGGCTGCGGGACAGTGCTACTGTGTATTTGTTGAAGCCCCTATATATGCTCCATGTCTGACATTCTTACCCACGTTTGGGTGATTCTTAGGGTGTGTATATATATATATACATGTTGGAACATATTCCATAGAGCACATGGGAAAGGTTCCAGCAGACTATGACGTCAAATCCCGCACCGAGTTTCTGAAGAGCCAAGCCATGTCAAGCCTCTTGGGCCGTGGCGGCCACCGTGGCCTTTTTCTTCATGACACACGCGCTGCAGATGGCCATTCGCCAACGGTTCACGCATAGCCGGCAGACTCCAGAACCTGATCATCATCGGCTGGCCTTTTGGACCCATCATCAGCTGGCGCAAAATGGGATGCCATGGGCGATGCCATGGGCGTAGACCATCCAAATACCCTCTGGTAATTTAACATAGCTATTGAAAATGGCCATAGAAATAGTGGTTTTTCCCATTAAAAATGGGGATTTTCCATAGTTATGTTAGTTTACCAGAGGGTACCCTCAAAAATGGTAAATACACCAAAAATATGACAACTATGAGCAAAGCACTATTTTTCAAGGGTACTTGGAGGGTCCAGGGGGTCCAGGTAAATCAATGAAAAATGCAATCTGCAACACTCCTTTTGGTATGGGATGTTGGTCTTTGACGGCAGTAAATGAACAATTGCATTCAACCTTCAAACCACCCATATACATCATCAACAACATCTCTTTTTAACATTCAATGGATGGTTTTAAGGGAAACTTTACAGGAAAACCCCATATTGAATGGGAAAATCTATGGTTTCCTGTAGATTTTCCCTCAAACCAAACCATTGAAACATGCCTGCAGTATATCAGTCTCACCAAAGTAATTACATGCAAACACGAGTCCAACCGTGGCGGGACCTCCGCTTGTTGCACCTGATTTTGCTAAGCTTACGTGATCTTAGATACCCCACAAAAAAACAAACATCATGATATCAGTTCAGCAAATTGTCACACATATAAAGAATATGACGTGTCCCCCACCACTGGGAGGGTAACCACTATGTTTCACCTCTATATATTACCAGGATGTTCATTTTCATCCTCATCCTCCTCATCAATCATCATCCTCCTCCTCCTCATCATCATCATCCTCCTCCTCATCATCCTGTTCATCATGATCCCGGCCCATCAGGATTTTTGGTCCCAGCTCTTGTGAGCACCCCGCAAAAAATAAACAGTTACTAGTGAACTAATGTACCTCTAGAAAAGTGACTTTTAGACTATATGTTCGTGTTGTTTTTCTCTTTTATTGTTATTTTTTTGGGGGGAGGAGTGCTGATTCTGTGGACATGTAGGAGTATTTATACATGAGTGTTACTCAAAGATGGAGATCTAGCACCACATATCCGCATTAAGGTCGGCAGCCTCTCATCCACACCAGTTCTCATACCCTGGCCTTCTGCTCCTCACTGGACAGCTTCACTGCCTTCAAAGCCTGGGAAAGCCCCGAGCCCGGTGAGAATACAAGTGCGATTCCAGCCACATCTTAGTTCCGTCTTGCACTATAAAACCATATAATTACAACATGGGAATTCAAGTAACTCAAATGGATTTAAGCAGAAAAACCGTAGCAAACCCGTGCTTTTTTTTCTATGCTATCCACATCGAAATGTAGTTGACCAAACCGCAAAGTACTTCAACCAAAAGGTATTGAACAGTAATTACACACCCAAGTTAACATAATTAACCATTGTGATCCATTGTGTTTAATTAATAAAATGTTCAGGCCCAGAACCACACATTTTTTGTGCTGATACCGATGATTGGAAGCCAAGTTCGACCCATGCTCAATTTAGCATATTCCAGTGGCAACCCGAATAAAGCGGAAACCAGATTTACGATAATTTACAATACTTTACAATAATTTGCGGTTCATATGCTTTGGTCGAAAAAATAACCCAAACAAATAGTGGGTGTATATCACTGGGTTTATCATCATGAATCATACTGTTGGTAAGGCAGCGGTACAATTGGCTTAGCACAATGATCTTCCAGTACAACTATTGCGCCACAAGTAACGCAACTTGAGTTCTCCCCCATCCCCCGGGAAGTCACCACCTATCAGGATCCAACGCGCCTCTGTTCTGGCGCGGGTGGTAGCTACCTGCAGCGATCGCCATTCGAAGGCTTGCGCATGGGGGTTGACCACGTCGCTGGCAGCATGTCTTGCCAAGACCCACCTTCTCCACCCATTTCATACAGGCTGCCGTTTTCACCAATTTAGGGTCGCTCTGATAACATCATCTGGTTGGTGGTTTCAATCCCTCTGAAAAATATGAAAGTCAGTTGGGATGATGACATTCCCAATATATGGAAAGTATTGGAAAGTCATAAAAGCCATGTTCCAAACCACCAACCAGTCAGCCAGTCCAGGTATGAAAACTTGAATCACCTGGAGTGAAGAATCATCCCTGCGCCATGCGAGGCCTTCTTCTTGTAGAATGCCTCGCTCTTGACCTGCGCCGGTGCCATCGAACAGTGGCGGCTATGGTGGGGCCTTGGAAAATGCATTTCACTGGGATTTGTTATTTATTGACCTATGAAAACCAACATATATAGATCCTTGGACATCCCATTTGGCCTATGAATATACATTGTCCCACTGGCTTCCCAACAGTTGTTTTTTCAGGTCCATCTTGGATTTGTTTAACAGGATTTTCGATCCGGCGAATGCCTGGAGTTGGATTGATCAAATGACAGAGAGAATATCTTGGGGGACAGCCTTAGTTCCCAACTATATATAGACTAGTCACCCCAACTATTCGCAATATTTCAGGAATAGTTGAACTTAACCATATTTCACCGTATTTAAAATTTCAACTATTGCCATATATATTTCAACCATTCATTTATTCACCCCAACTATATCAATGATTTATCCGATATCGAGATATTTCAGGAATAGTTTATCAATTGTTATCAACTATATCCCCATATTTCAACTATATCAGATACCCTCTGGTAAACAAACATAGCTATTGGACATGGCCATAGAAATAGTTGATTTACCCATTAAACATGGTGATTACCAGAGGGTAAACCTCCATTTTCCTATGATCTTCCTATGGTTTTCCTATGGTTTATCCCCATATTTCCACGTGTTTCAGGACTCCAAGCGCGGACCGCGGCCGCCGGCGGCCTTGCGCTGGCTCTCCAAGCGTTGGATCAGCGCGCCGTGCTTCCAGCCCACCTGGAGCTCAAAACGATGTGTTTTTCCCATGGAAAAATCAATGAAAATATCGTTACCCTGCGGTAAACTAACATGGCCATATGGAAAATCACTTCAATATTGATATATATATATAGGTAAATTTTAAATGTGCCATTATCATCCATTTTTAATAGCTATGTTTGTTTACGGGATGGTAATGATGGTTTACGATAGTTCTACTGTAAGTATAGTTTAATGGGGTTTATAAACCACAATTTATAAAAATGATCTTCCGAAATCAATTTTAGGAATCTATAGTCACTAGTCGTTTTGAAAGGGCCAAGATTTGTCGGGCAATCCTTCTCATCGCCATCTCAGGGAGTACTTCATTGGATGGTTGTGCATGGTGCATGATCGGCATACAAATCAATGGGATATAATGGGATAGCACCACTTCTTCTAGACTTGATGACCATGGTGAATTCATCAGAAAGGCATCCGACTCGTCTGGGTTTTGTATGAGTTTGTCTTACATGGGCCATTTTAAGTGTGGCTCAGATCGTGTTTGGAAATAGGTTGAAATCATTCAGCTGCTTCTCCCCCCCTCTGTTTGGTTACATGGTTGGGCTGGTTGTATCTCACGTCCAGCTCGTTTCAATCCTACGCCATCCTGGTTACCCTCCTGCATTTCTGCTGCTTGAATCTCCACTTTCAGCTTCTGGCACAGCTACCTCGACCATCCTCAACCTACCCTCCTTGCCATTCAAAAAACAGTTCATCAAATGATGATGATTTCCAAAGGGTTGTATTCCTTTACTAGCATGCCCAATCTGAGTTAAATATGTTGAGTTGTACACGTCCCCATTATGATCATTATGGCAAGAGCGTCATCCCTTCGACTCTAGACGGCGTTTTTTCGGCCTGGAGTGGCCAAATGAAGGCGCCTTTGTTTCTAGGGGTAAGGAGCGGAGATCCCAACATCTTTCATGATTCAATCATCTTAATCTTAACCCAAACCCACATGAAATTGACAATATATAGCATTTAAATGCATTTAATATGAAATCCTATTGAAATTCCAAGCTTGACCTAGCTTTAGAAACCAGCACGCTGCTGTTCTCCAAGCACCAAGCCCCCCCGGTTTCCTCCTTGGAGAGGTCCCCCAGGCGGCAGAAGCGGCGCTCAGGGCGCAGGCGTAGGACTTTCAGACAGCTTGGCCTCTGGGGGTCGACGGGTCAAATATCCAAAAAATGAGAGATGATGATGTATACGAAATTGTTTTGGGGACTTGTCCACCTTTAGATCTCAGTTACTAGATATTAATAGTTCATCCTATTACAATTACATACAATATCATTCAATTACCATTATACCAATGTATAATTGGGCTATTTGATGGGATATATTACACACTACAAAGTGGGGGCCCCCTAGATAGCCAAAGTGGTGAACATAACTCCAATAACTATGGTTGATACTTCTAATATCTTCTAATTATAGTTAATGGATGTTAATGGGGTTTATAAACCTCATAACAGGGGGGGCAATCCTCCATTCGCCCCCAAGACTGGGGAGCTCGGCACTACCATTCGCTTCTTTCGGTCCTCGGACATCAAAATTCAGTGCAGGGAAGGGATACGGAATATGAATTTACCATGTATATATATATATATATGTATATATATATATATCCCTATAAAAACAACCACCCCAAAAAATAGAACAGTAATTTTACAGTAGTTCTGTAGCATTTGTTGTTTCTATCTTTTGGGGAATTGTAAAAAAGTCAAGTGTGAGTCTTATCAATGAGAAAAAACACTTAGCCACCGAACATGGGAGTGAGGTGGATGGATGCCAAAATAGAGAGGAAAAGCACAAAAAAAAACATATGGAGTGCAGCCAACAAAAGGCTCCACTTAACAAAGATGAGGATTGAATCAGTAAACTAATTCGATCAACGCATTTCAACCAGCAAACACGGAGTCTTTAACCAAGGGTATGAGTAGCGGCATGAGTCAACACTAACTGGTTGGTAACTACCAATCGTGGCATATACATAATATTATATCATAATATATATATATATGTATGTGTTATATTGTAGATATATATATATTATAAATATATATATATGCCAATTATATATATATGCCATAACATTCGACCAGTTAAAATATTATTTTAAAATCTGACATTTGCCCATCTAAATGTGCTTTGGAGCTCCCAAATATATCCTGAGAAGGAGGTTGGAGCTGTAGGGGCTCGTGTGCATCTACTTTTCGCAACAAATATTGCCAAAGTTCCGACTCGCTTAACCCTTTCAACCATTGGGGACCCTTTCCAAGCGATCACTGAGTTGCAAAGACGAAGTTCTCCAGTACAGTCCGACACTTGTCTATTTCGATCCCAACTTCAGCACTGGATCCGACGACTTGCAACCTCCAACATGATCCAAGAAATATCAGCCACATCAAGGGCATCCTTTATTGTAACAGGACTTGCAACCTGGGGGAGTTCCCCACAAAAATCAACAGATTCCCAGCAGCTGGATTCCCAATCTGGGTGGATGTCCCCATCATCCTGGGTCTCCCCCGCGTAAGGGTGCGGAATGCCCTCAAAGGTCTTCAGTTTATCAAGCGCCGCCGCGCCACGGGCTGTCTTATGGGGCACCATGCCGCGGATGGTGCCTCATGGAATGGTGGGAACCATGGTGAATTGTCAGCCCAAGGCCATTTATAGATGGGAATACCCGGCTTAAGAGAGGGAAATGGATTGTTGAAACCAGCTTTTGAAGGTGTTTTGTAGTGTTGCGATTTGAAACTTGAACTTAACATTTGTAGATATTGGACTTAGTGAAAAGGCTTTTCAACCTGTCACTTCTGAATTTGCGTGCATATCCAAGTACGCATTTGGTCCTCGATTTCCTGCTAGCATCGCTGAATAGCTGTTGAGACTTGCAGACCACCTTAGCCTAACTATCATATGGTTGGGAAACTCGTAGTAGCTCCTTGGCTCCTCTTTTTATAGGGAATATATTTTTGCATGGCACTCTACCACGTTTTCGTTTGGGCTATTTTGTCCAAAAGTTGGGGACACAAATTCCGAAAGTTGGTGACAAAAATTCCCCAAAGGGGACAAACATCACCGAATTTGGGGACAATAATTACCCAAACTTGGGGAAATTTGGGGACAATAATTGCAAACCAACTTCCAAAGAGATAACCCAAAAACATGGCAGAGAGACATGCTAAAATATGTTATATGGGAATGTGACACCCCTAGCTCCGACCCGCTACCCCCTAACCAGCCATTCATATCCCATTCATATCTCATTAATATGCCATTAATATCCCATTAGGCTTCTCATTCAGTTTCTCATGAATGAACCCACCCCATTATATTTTCAGTAGATTTAACCATGATATAATTAATCCCATCCCCCTAACTCTAAAAACACCTCCCTCATATGGTCCCGATGATGTGGAAATTCCCTATGAAAAACAATGGTATTTCTAAGGGGCTGTTGAAAAAATGGGGGGATGGGATTGGATCCTCCATGATGGCCCGCCAAGAAACGCCACAAGATCTTGGCGGGCGATCGGAAGTGGAAAGGTCCCTGACGAGGATTGGTGTTCATGTGCCTCGGTGCCACCAGCAGCTGAATTAGGGGATTGCTGTGAGGGGATCCATGTGCCAATTCCAAAAAAAGGTATGTACATGGAATTGATTCTGAATGGATACACTGTGATACAGCTAGTAGACTCCATGATAAAACACAGGGTAAACTAAAAAACAGGATGATGAGAACTGCTGCTTTCCCGTTCGGAACATGATCTATCGAATCACTGCATCATCTATTCCAAAACATGGAACCCAACTTGATGCCATTCCCATAGGAACATCACCGAAACCAAACATGTCCAACCCCCTTTTCTTGGGGGGGTCATAGGGAGGGCATCATCGTCTGGGCCGTCTGGGCAAATGAGAATATTTCACTAACCTGACATAGGCTTCTTCTTGGGATAGTTATATACCCCTTACATTCACGCGATCATTTCAGCGACGTTTATGACGTCGAAGTGCATCATGGTTATGGCTGGGTTTCGGCTGGTTCTCACCAAGCGGCTTTCTTCTGAAGTTCGCCTCGGCACTGGCCGTTACAAATTGGGTCCTTTGGGGACACCAATCACTTCATCAACTGCGCTGCCATGCGCTGCCTGATGCTTAGCTGCTTGCGGGTGCAGAACAACAATTTTCAATAAGTGAATAGAGTAGGCCACACTTATTGAAACTTATTAACTTATTGAATACAACATTTTTCAATAAGTCTTGCATCCTAACTTATGGTGGGTGCAACCCTGTTATACCTATAAGCCCAGTCCTGCGCTCCGGACTGGCTGGCCTACCTCCCCCATTTTGGGGATGATTCCCGTCAATTACATTCACCATCATTCCAGTGATGTAGCGATGTGAGGTCGTCATAATTGATCCAGATTACATCCATATCATCCGTGTTGATTATTAAATTCCATTAAATTCCATTATATAAACCCCAGATCTTTGGATATGCGGCTCTGCCCATCCGTCATCCCGACACCTTTTACAAAACCATGGTCACCTGAGCCATCGACAATAGCTGCTATTGGGATTGACACCATCAACGCATGGTAAACATGACATTGCTTTACTAACACGACTTCATAATCCCCATAGTTATGGCCCTTTACCAGTTATAAGCTAGTTAAAACCCAATTTTATGGAATGATAACCCCATACTCTTAGAAATTACTGGTAAAGGGTTCGAACTGCAATACCCGGACAGCATAACCAGGTAGTATAGTAGGATAACCAGGTAATAACTTCAATAACTATGGATTATGATGCATATAGACACATCTTAGACCTATAGTATTCATGGGGGTTGTAAATTAATAAGCCAACTATCTAACCAGGAGGTCGCAGTAACCAGGTAGTCTAACGAGTCTAAACACCTGATCACCAGCTCCAAGCGACATACTTCAGCTTGTTGCGGTACAACGAGCCGGAGATGTTGATGTCCTCGGCACGCCTGGGCCCAAAGGCGAGTAACATGGCACATGGGTTAGTAAATCATGGTGGGTTGATATGTGGGAATATAATTAGTAATATATCACATACATTATATGTACATATATAATATTAACTACTTTGAAACATATTTTGGTATACACTCTAATATGTTGGTATACTTTACATATGTTTTGGAATATTATATATAGTAGTTTGGTTACTTTAGGTTAACATATGGAGATTATATAATAATACTACAGTGCTATAAGATCTATAAGCTCATGAGAACGCCGGAGTAACAATCCCCCGCTGATCTGACTGATTGTGGGCTTGTCAATTTATTCGAAATAAATAGCAATCTACTGTTGAAGTGGGGCCCACCCCATCATACCTTGCATTGACCTTTGCCATGTATGAATCGGCTGTGCACCATGACTGGTTCCTCCAACTTGCCAAAAATCCGCTATAGTCACTAGGAAATTAATTTTGCAAATCCCTATCTTTTTGAAGGGTTCATGGTAGTTTCAAGTGGGGGTACCTGATGAAAATATTCCACTGGAGCCATTCTAGCCTCTGGAGCATCATAACAGTTTCCCTCATTGTATGTTCTTCCTCCTAAGCTGTAAAACTCAATGCGTTGATGAATTTCATTACTATCTTTGATATGTGAAACATTTCATCTTTTCAGTTCTATACATGTTTCGCACGCACATGTTGATGAACACGGCCCAGGCTTTGTAGGATTTGGATGGATTTGGGGGAAGACCATTTCGAGGCTTCCTGAAATAGGGGTAGCCCTAAATCATCCATTTAAATGTGATTTTCAACTGGTTGGTGGTATACCTACCCCTCTGAAAGATATGAGTTCGTCAGTTGGGATTATGAAATTCCCAATATATGGAAAATCACAAAAGCCATTCTAAACTACCAACCAGATATGTTCTTGATATACCATCTGGTTATTTAACATAACCATGGAAAATCACAATTTTTCAAAGGTAAACCATCTATAAATGGGCAATTTTCCATGGATATGTTAAATAACCAAAGGGTAAACCATCCAGCTATGGGGGATCCATGTTGGGAAACCGCCACGGTGTTTACCGGGTTCCCTGACACGCAGACCACTTGCTGCCCATTCAGCAGCTCCTGGCGTCGAACGGTGTCGTAAGAGGCGAGCAAGCGAACTTATTGAGACAGGGAAACCCAATACATGATGATGAATCATGATTAATGGGTACATAATGGAACCAAATAAGAGATATAACCTGGTAAGCGAAATAAAGAACCTATCATGTGGGGATGATTGTTACGGCAATATTGGGGATGGTTTATTGTTGGGTTTACCACAATGGTCCTCCACCTTGTAGCTCAAATAGTACACCAGGGATCCGTTTTGCGGGTATATCATAGGGGAAGAGCTGACTTCGATACCTGCAAAAAAAACCTGGTGTTTACCTGGTAACCACAAAAATGGAGCAGCAACCGAGGCGTTAACCCACAGAAATTGGGAATCAAACACCTTCTAGAAAATGCACATTGTATGAACAAGGCCACCATTTGTATATGGAACATGGCCCATTTATAAATGATTTATCTATTTAATGATTTTCCATCGTGCCATAGCTACGTTAAATTAGGTACCGGCGCTGATAGCGGACCCGATGTTTTTAATGATTTTTATCTCAACCATTCTTCATCGATTGGTTTAAAACTGTGGCGCCGTGACGATTTGTTGTTTTGCCTTGAATTAGAAATGGTGTTTTCGTCCAACGTTACGCTAGGAATTTGTTCATTGATCATTGAATATTGGGCTACAATGGGCTACATAATTTGCAAATGTAGATTTGGAAAACGAAAATGAAACACAGCGTGTTTTCCTCTTCTTTTTCTCTCTTCATGGGTTCAGCGCAGCATCAAGAGCGTGTGGCAAGTGACAAGAGGCATGTTACAGCGTAGCATCAAAAGCGTGTGGCAAGTGACCAGAGACATGTTACAGCATAGCATCAAGAGCGTGTGGCAAGTGACAAGAGGCATGTTACAGCGTAGCATCAAGAGCGCGTGGCAAGTGACAAGAAACATGTTACAGCGTAGCATCAAGAGCGTGCGGCAAGTGACAAGACACATGTTCCAGCGTAGCATCAAGACCGTGTGTCAAGTGACCAGAGACATGTTACAACATAGCATCAAAAGCGTGTGGCAAGTGACCAGAGACATGTTACAGCGTAGCATCAAGAGCATGTGGCAAGTGACAAGAGGAATGTTACAGCGTAGCATCAAGAGCGTGTGGCAAGTGACAAGAGACATGCTACCGCGTACCCCCACTCCCTCCCACCCCCCCCACCCCACCCGGTTCCCCAAGAAAATCACACTATCCTTCGTGCACAACTTCTAACTGACGTGCGCAACTTCTAACTGACGCGCGCAACTTCTAACTGACGCGCACAACTTCTAACTGACGGGCACAACTTCCAACCGATGGGCGCAATGCGACAGCGAAAAACAGCAAAACCTGCGGGTCCGTTAACAGCGCCGGTAGCTTAAATTAGGCTCAGGCGGCGCCGTTCGCCCAGACTCCAACTTGACGCATGTTGAATGTTGAAGATCTTCAGTAAGGGATCAAATCCCAAAACCCTCGTTACACTATTACACCGGTTGAAGATCTTCAATAAAGGGATCAAGTCCATCACTCCTGTTGAACTATGCAGGGATTGCAAGAAAATAATTTGAAAAACATATTGTCGTGGACCCTTACGAGGCTTTCATTTCGCAAAGCCATCGTCGATGAAGCGCCATGTCCAGACATGTGGGGAAAGTGATCAGATTCACTCCCAAACGGTACATCCTGGCCATTCAATGACTAAAAGGGTCATGTCAACCCCGGATTCATAAACCACCAGAATCCATGTTGATTATGAGAATCATGGGGGCTCATGGGGCCTCCAAATAGTGATAGTGTGAGACTTCATTGGTACCCCCCCGATGAACGTATTCATCCAGGGTTGACATTAATCCCATGACACCTCCTCTGTCTGGGAAGCCCTTCTTCGGGGCACGATTCCACTTTGGAAATGGCTTATATCGTTATACCATGTGAAAATCCCCGAATATCCCTACTTGAATAATCTGGGATATTCTGGATATAAATGATGGATATTATGGGATGAATATGGGTGACATATATGGATTTTCCATAAACAGTAGTGGAATCTCTATGCATAGTCCCCAAGATTCCACTGCTACTATCTGAAAATCTACTAGACTAGTATCCATATCTCTGATCTACTACATACATATTCCATCATATTGCATCATATCCAGATTCCATATATCTAATATAGACATATTCAATGTATATATATATATATAAATAAACCATGGATCCGATTCGTGCCAGGGCGGGTTTTCGTCTCGCACCTTCGCCAAGACCGAGGCCAAGCGACCTAGAAGGTGGCCACGGCAGTCCACCACGATCTGCGGCGGAAATCTGGTTGGTTTCGATTTGTCAAAATACGAAGATTCACCAAAAGTTATGATAACATCTGGGGAACCAAATGGAATATATATATTATATTATATTATATTAAATTATATTTATATAATATATATAAACTACTGGGATGTATGCAATGACTAATGAGGATATCGTGGCCCCAAAAACATGCCAACATGTACAAACAATTTCCAGGTGTGCAACGTCTCTACCTGTAGATCTATGACTTGGGGTTGCTATAATCCCTCCCCGGTCACATTAAAAATATATATAAACAATATCCCAGACAAAACTCCAGTTTCGTAACTCTTTTTTTGTGATCTGTTCATGAACTGGGGCCCCTAGCGTTGGAGAGTATGTCGTTTTTTGGAAGATGGGATGAACATGAATTGACATACGAGATCATACGAGCAACATCGGGAATGGTAAACTTTCACCGGTGAACAGGGGGATTTGACTCATGTTATTTCAATACGTTAACTACATCTAAATAATTATACGGATTTTTCTACCTCCGAGGCCTTGTGGTCTGGCCCGCCCTCCACATATTTAAATGTCGTTACCGTAGTCAAAAGTACCTATGAAAAGTGGGGATCTGACCCAGAAATGCGGAGGGACAGGACATTTAATCAACCAAAATGGGGTCCTCACCACTAATACTGGCGCAGCAGGAAAAATCAAGGCGTATATAGAATCAAGAAGAACCTTTGCGAAACCTTACATTCTTACATCACCCACCAAGAAAGAGCTCTTCAAAGGCTTGTGACAGATTCCTCCAAACAAATGAACCCATCAAACCTCCGAGTCACCAGGGAAGTTTGAAACGTGGTGATACACCAAACCGAGACATGTTGGTGCTAAATGCCCCTACAATGTCACAATAAATGACTGCCAAACCAATCTTCCCGAGCAATGCATTACACAATGTCACTACCCAGCAACATTCCGGTGGCGTCGCGACGTGACTTTCATTTTCCGGCCCAAAACCGCACGGGGCAAACGGCAAGTTGGTGACCTTTAAGGCCCATTGCCAATGTCCACGGCTCCGCCCTCCAAGTCAAGTCACATGATCCAAGTCGCAAGCGGTATAAGAAGATAGACCTTTTACTACAGCAAGGGTTTCAAGTACTGGATGGGAGCAAGAATTCTGTCTATATATAATACTATATAATTATAATCAATTTTACAGATGCTTACCAAATTGAAGCCAAATATCTCCCTTAATTAAATATGGAAAGTAACGACCCGAACACTCCTTCGCTTCCCCAGTAACAGTCCAAATGATCCTCACCTTGCACTGGACCTGGAAGACAGGGCCGCTCCTACAGGATCTATACTTCACGAAACTCCCGGATGGCGAAACCCAGGTCGTCATAGCAACATGTCATCCAGCTTCATGGGCTGATTCTCTAGTGGCTAGCAGTTTCGCGCCTTACCAAGGAGAAACATCAAACATGAGAACAAAGTGGGTACAATGGCTTAATCAAGATTCAATGTGACCTTCATTTGCTGCCTCAATGGACAACCGTGCCCACGGTCAACCTCTGTTATGCTGAAGATGTTTGGTAATGTGTATAGAACTTACCACTAGTTGGACAATAGATTGAACATCATTATATATATATATATATAATCATGGGACTATTGTTAACAATTGAACATCAATAATGTATGAACTGCCAATTGAAACTTCCCTAATTCTAAGTACATCAGCCACCGGGACTTCCCTGTCAACTGCAACTCCCTTAGGGATGCAGGCTCAGTCAGGTCAAAAGCCCTTCGTCATCGGACCTGCAATTGATTTTATCTCGGGTCGGTTGAGGCCTTAAAATATTGGGGATGTTTGGAGTTTATCCATGTTTATCCATGGAAGAAGGGGGAAAATCCTATTAAAATTAGGATGATTTGGAGGTATATAACTCCAGTGGAATCTAAGTGGGGGATGTATTCCTATAGTCTGATGTATCTTTTTCACCAACACCAGTGTGACGCCACAACGCACAACGTATCCAACAAACCAACACCCTCTGGTTGTGAGTTCCACTAATGTGTTGGGTCTTTGATGTGCCAGTGGGACAGAAAACACTTGATGAACACATACATGGGTTGTATGGAATATGTATACATATTGTGTTGATGGTATCTGCCTACAGTATAATATGTATGTATGTACTATGTATGTACGTATGTATGTATGGATGGATGGATGGATGGATGGATGTATATATGTGTATGTGTATGTGTATGTATATGTATATGTATATGTATATGTAATGTAATATAATCTAATCTAATGTAATGTTATGCTATGTGTGTATGCATGCATGCATGTATGTACTGTATAAATCTGTATAACATATATATATATATATGTAATTATAGATATATCATGTAAATCCCCATGATAAGGATCTTCAACTTTCTGCAGGAAACGACATACATCTCCCTCTGGTAATCTAAGCTGGCAATCGTTTGTTTTGTCTGTGTTCATCCCATTTATTTATTCATGTATTAATTTGTATATTTATATAAACATATAATACATATATAATCATATATCTCAATGTACAATGCAATTGTTTATACAAATGACAAATGCCATTCCAGGATGTTCCTAGCTTCACCTGTATGATATACATTGAAAGACCATGATTTCCCACTGATTCCCTGGCGAAACTCCAGTGACTCCAGTGTTGGCGACCTGAAGAGATGTGGAAAACCATTAGCAATGCACGGATCATGATACAACATGATACAGCATGAACACTTACCAGACTTACCACATAGAACTTGTGTTTGCATGTGTTTGCAACAAACAAGACAAGAGGCGTTTTCACTGAGAAAACTCACCTTCCAGACCGAATACGCACCTGTCATCGGGCATGATGAGTTGCACTTCACGCGCAGCGGCTGCCCTGTCAGGGATGCACACAACCAGCAATGTAACAAGGGATCACCCCTGCAGAAATTTCTTTCAGTCAACCATGGACATTTTTTTAATCACATAAACTTGTCTTATGCCGACTTTTGGCCCTACTATCATCATTGCAATTGTGGGACGCCCTGCTAAAGAATATTTGTTTAGTCGGTTTGCTTAATAATTACCCATTGATATCGAAATCTCAAAGTCTTAAAGTCCCAAAGTGCACTTTACGACTAATGACGTGAATTCCCATTGAATTCCCTGCGTATGTCCTATACAATGGAATTTTCAGGAACCTAAAATGGAGGTACTGTACCATTTTTCAGGCAATATTTTGCGGGGATATTCCCTTACATAGCCCTGAAAAATAGGCCTTACATATGGTAGGTACCTCCAATAAATCGGTTCCTGAAATGGCCATTGATATGTTGATGGTTACATGGATGTTTCAAGGCAAGAAATGCTGCAAATCCCGCAAATGATTTGGCCCATGTCCTCAGCGATGCGCACCTTCGCAACTCAGCACATAGCCTCCAGTCGGGGAAAATTTTGGCAATCCCAATTGTTGTGTGGTTAACTCATCTATTTCTGTTGCTTATTTCACCATTTGCTGTTGGTTAAATCCCAATTTCAGATGGGATAAAAGTTTCAATCCCATTCTTCGTTGGTCCAAAAAACTGGTGCGTCAAAACTATAATGTGCTTGGGAAACTGTGATTTCATATGAGCATACACCAGGAAATTGAGTGGATTCTATGGATTTGTCTCATGGGGGTACCAATTCCACTGGTTCATCATTTTCCCATCCGAAGTCTTGCCATTTCTATAGGGTATATCATGAACAGACCCAGGATCATCACAAGGCCCGAGGCTTTTTTAAGGCCCACCGGACCAGCCAAAAAAATCCGGCTGGTCCGGTGGTGATTCTTTGAGGTCTGAGCCAACTGTTTTGCTGCTGGTTATGTTGATTGAATTACCACAGGACCACAATTGCCAACACAACTCGATTGAATTATCCCCTGTGGGTTCTATTGCCAACTGGCATGCGCAAAAATCTATTGCCATCCATTCGACGTTCTTACAGAGTGTTAGAGGTCAACACACCAAATCCGGGTCAAACGTTGACCCCGCAACCGGGTCAACATCTAACGACAGGGTAGTGCAAACAAGCTGGGTTGACAGCCTGGACGTGACATAATTAAAGAATGTATGTATAAATATTATCTGGTTGGTGGTTTCGACCCCTCTGAAACATATGAAAGTCAGTTGGGAGTATTATTCCCAACTGAATAATAGTCCATTCCCAACTGAATAATACTCCCAACTGAATGGACAAATAAAAGCCATGTTCCAAACCACCAACCAGTTACAGTATTGTGTATATATATAGAGAGAGAGAGAGAGTGAATCAGCCTGGATAGGAATCCGACTGGCCGTGCTGCTCGGGTACAAGGTGATGCTCCCCTAGTTCTGATAGTTATGAGTTGGTTGTTAAACCGAATCAATTGATATATCTACCATGAATCCAACAGTTCACCTACTGAAATCAAGCATAATCAAGCAAAGTATTCAGAAACCTGGGGCACCAACCTGAAACTTATCCCCTCTCCCCATGTTAAACACTCCCGTTGAAAGAGACATTTCCATGGGATTTACAAATAATTGGAACCCTTCCAATGGGATCCAATGGCTGTGTTTCAGATGAGGGATCCATGGTTTTTGGCCAATGGGATGTTGATTTTCAGAAATCTCATTGAAAGGACATATCAAAACATATATTAGCCTCTGTTATGTTGCCTCGGGATATGGTTCTCATTTGTCTCGCTATATATGTATACATTTACATATACATACATACACATATTCCATCATATTCCCATTATTAGTGCAACCTCCCCACTTGGACATCGTTGCATGATAACCCCATAATATGCCATGAACAAAATATTGCAAACACCCAAGCAATATCCCAACATGTTTGCACTATATCCCCATATGGATACCCTCTGGTAATTTAACATAGCTATTGAAAATGGCCATAGAAATATATAGTCGATTT